AACATATAAATGAAGCTGTAAGAACACTCCTACAGTACTGGCAATGTTTTCACAGTTGTGCTGTATAGCTCTCCGATGTGCTTTTGGGTTGTACCGCGTGGCGTTCTGCATGATGTACGACGTTTCGCTCCACTTGGTGAGAGCTTATTTCAGGAAGTGAATTGAAGAAGTATGTCTAATGAATCATCGAACATCGTGTTGAATAACACCCAAAGGCACATCGAAGAGCTAGTAAGCCCAATACTGTAAAAGTATGCACGTTTTGGCGAAGCAGTGTCTCATGCTCATACACAAAGTAGCCAATCAGCAGAGCTGCACGCGTTTTACTCACGAATGCGTCCCATGCGAATTAGCAGCACACTTCCCAGAACACTCCTGTTCAGCTGTCTGCATCTGCCATCAGAAAACCCTGTTTACAGACAGTATCAGTGCTGCACGTGTCTCAGTTGGTTTCATCCCATTGCAGCGCCCTACAATAAAACCAAACAGTGTGCACAAAACGAATACGATCAAGATCGTAAATTACTTACAAACAGTGAAAGTGTCAGATTATAGAGTGAACATGAATGAAAATCAGCGGGTGTTAAGTGAAGGTTGCAGATGCCTTAGGTGAGATACTGCGAAGGAAAAAAGTACGTTGCAAAAAGACCATCACACGCGAGGGTCTGTCGATTCGCAGCTTATCATTTATCGCATCGCCAATGTGGGGTGAAGGGTTATTTAGCTCCTATGACGTGGCCATGAGAGGCACGTGGCTGTCGTCACACATCTCCTCTTGCAGACGCTTCCTGTCCTCGCATTAATGATGATGCAACGCTAGGGCAACACATTTTCAGAACAACGGCAGCAAATCTTAAGGCTGATATGTTGTAGTCTGCATTCGAAACATCATCACCAACATAGCATTAACGAGGAATTAGGCGAATCTACATTTTTGCGTCTGATTTTCATTAACAGTTCCAGTAACAGATATCGCGCAGGGCCTCAAGTCTGGCATAATTGGAAACATTGCTTTGGCATGTGGATGTTCACTGTTGCTTGGCAATAAAGCCCCAAAATGTGCTACGATAACACACAGAGCTCAGGGGTTCACGTCTGGAGGGTCTATCTTGTTCTGCTGTGCAAATGTGGTCAACGAAGGAGTGAACTTCAATACAGTGCACACATCAGCTGTTTGTATGGAGGAGAGTGCAAGCAATGTATCAGCCTTTATGAGAACAGTGGGTATTTGTTAAACTTAAGAAGAAGAAAAGTTCGAGGCGATTATATATTGCACTAACCATCTTGTATATATCGACCCGTCACAGTGCTCTGAATGCGTGTGGATATTACACTGGAGCAGCCTGTAATATAGTACACTATGTATGCACCCTTTGTTTACAGTGGCTGCATCTGTTGGGAAAAATAACATGTTAGCGGCCAAAAGAGGAAGCACTTGTGAATCCCACGAGAAGTCAGCTAATGATCAAAGGGATGCGCACACTCGAAGCCCCAAAATGTCTCACCATTTAGTGCCAACCACGAAATAAATGTGTCACCGAGGAAGAAATGCGCGGCCCCTTTGCAAACCGTTAGTTTAATAAGTCCACTGGCCATGACTGTACAAATTTGTGATCACCCAATAGAAAAAAAATATCAGAAACGCACGAAATTACAGTCGATCGTAAAATGTGCGAAACAAGAGCAAAGGCTGAAATGTGATTAATTATTTGTGTGCATATGCACGCATGACTGTGTGCACGATGCATTTCTGATGATTAAGGCACCTTTCTTCAGTGTTTTTTTATGGGCACCGGTTTGTCAGTCAGCTGGGATGCAGTCACACTGGGTTTGGGTATCTCAGGAAGCAGCAGTGGAATGACAGGATGTGGAAGAATCGCGTACATCCTCTGCAGGTCGAGTCTCATTTTCAGCCAGGACGTGACGGCTGTGCCATTGTTTCTAACCCTCACCTAATGGCATTTGACCTTTTGACAGGATGGCTTTCCACTACCACCAACACCGGTCGGAAAATGCACTCCGACAAGCGTAAGCAATTTCGCAAAAGCTTTAAGACTGAAGGCATAATTCAGGCTTAATGGACATCAGGCTTCTGGGGCAACATGACATATGAAACCACTATTAAGTTTCCAGCTTATTTTTCAGGAGGCTTATTTTACGGTTTTGGTAAAAAAATGATGGTATGGGTGATCTTTGCAGTTTTTGTTTCACATGTAACTTTAAAACGCCTCATTGCTGATGATTGGCCCTCCCCTCCACCTTCGACCCTTACTGATATCATGATGTAAAAAAAATAAAGCCAGCACTGTGGCACTGGATCATTAATTTTGAGTGTTTCAGGAACGCAGACAATGCTTTCCGATTCATCAGCACACACACACAGGGTGTATGTGCAAGTATACCATAGCGATTATACTGATTATGCATCAGAGATCAGAATCCATTAAGTGTGGCACAGGATATTTGTGTTTTAATTTTTTTAAAAGACAATTACCGGTTGCAGAAGATACTGGTTGTCACGGTGACATACAAAAGCAAAAAAACAATGGACAAAGATCTAATAAATAATCATATCAAGTCTACCCATTCTGTGTATCAACATTTCCACACTGTGTACCTATTATAAACATATTTTTGTATAATAATGCAATGACAGTACTCAATCTGCACTGTCTGAATGCTGTGTATTTCTTTGAAAAAAAGACTACCAGTGATAATAATGCTTTTTTATTTACTCAGGAAAACCATTCCGAGTCTCTTTAGAGGGTTCTGCGTGAGAATGGTGTGTTTGACATGCACACGGTGTATCCGAACAATATCCAAGTACACAGGGAGGTAAAACCTCAAAAGCTCCACGTGGATTCGAGAATCTACCACCTATCGATCTCACAGCCCATGCCTACAACACTCGAGTGCGAGGGGTGCGAGTAGCAATCGTGACACATTTAGTTCTTCTTCAATAGCAACGGCAACACACAGCTGGCTGAGCAAACCCGGGGGAAAGCTCTCCAGGGATCACAGAGACTGGAACTGAATCGGGGTCACTAGGGCAGAAGCAGTGCACATATAGCCACTGCACAACCCTGCTACCGCCGTATGCCTCCAATAGCGCCTGCATATAGCACAATGTTTGTTTTCATTGAATGCCATCTGATAAAACGGGGGGTTTTTTGGCCTGGTATATCAAAGCGGTTATCGATAGTTCGTATCGTACATAATAAACAAAGAGCCATGCTGCGGTGTTTACAGGATAATATGCTGGACGAGCAATTCTTAGATGCCCGGTTGAAAACCCGGTCAAAGCAGTTGAATCTTTGGCCAAGTGATTTAATCAGACATTGCATCTCTTTGCCCATGGGTACAGCGCAGGATCGTGAGAGGTGGTGGAGGCGTGAGAAGGCCTTCATCCAGTAGTGAACTGGCCATGGCTACTGCTGATGATTATTATATTTCAATTGGTGGATCAGCAGCTGAGCCACTCGGCATTAGTCCCCATGATAAATCAGAGGCATATCTGATTTCAGCAAAGGCGGACCCGCAGCCAGACGTCACTGGATTGAATTATAGCCCTTGGTGCACGTTCACATTAACCGTTTTGAAAAATGATGAGAAACACACAGACAAAAACGTGAAATAGTGGCCACACCACAAACAGCGTGGCAATGGGATGTCTGAGGGCCTCCATTACCAGTGTTGTGGATGTTCCCCGGGATACTACCTAGATAACCACCGATTTGTTTACATTTTCTTCTAATTGCCCAGCTCGTTATTGCAATTAAGTTGAAAGAATTAAACGCCGTTTAAATATTGCTACACGACAGTACTGTTTGCCAAGGGCTTAGATTTTTTGGGGATTTAAACCGACAGTGACCAATCTGCACTCTGTGTAATCCAACACACAGTAGCCTAATGCATTTAATCGCTGCGATTTAAGGATTAATGACATACATTGCACCACTTTGCAATGCATTGTGTTGTCTAACGATGCTGACTATAAGCGTTGAATTACTGTACCGTGTCTTACAAAGGGATCTTCATCAACCCGGACTGACCAGTGTGGTGAAGTATGGTCGAGCACCCCCCCCCCCCCGATCCACACGGGCATGGATCGAGGGGCCCTGGGGCCCTAATCCAGCAGTGGATTGACAACAGGGCAGGATGGTTGTTCATGCATTCCGCTACGAATATTTACAATACTTCCAATGTTATAATGTAATAATACAATACAAGCGAGGCTGCTATGTTTTATTATGCAGTACAATACGGCTTATCGATGCATCACTGCATTGCCTCGAGGACGAAGTCACCCGGTATTCACCCGAGGCTGGACAGTGATTGCAAGGGTCACCGCCATGCACAGGAAGGTGGCCACGTTGTGGTCAGTGCGGCCAAACCCATGACCGTATTGTACTGCAACATCTATGCGCTCCCAAGAATTTCATCTATTGGACATGGGATACCTCCAGTCGAAATAAATATTCCGATTCTGATCTTTACCACCCCGCACATCCGACCACTGCGGTGGAGCAAGCATATCTTGAATGCCTGTGCGGCGTCGGGAGGTCTCTTCCTTCCAGCGGTGGACTGACAAAGGGCTGTTATAATGTGCAAAAGATGCACGTCCAGGTAGGCCGACCGCTATTCAGTGTCGCACGGCGCAAAGGGCATTTAACAATAGGGTGGGTACCTACGTATCTCAAGATGCACAGCAACTCGGTACGATACGTGCTTCTTCTGCGCCCTGTAAACAATGCCATAGCACTCGCTACAATGTAATACATGGGGTTATTATATATCGATACACACACACACAACGCCTTTAAATGGCACGTGTCTTGCGCGCGCGTTGTGTTGTACCTCTCATTCATTCATCCGTTACGCTCACTGGCGTGGGCGGGACTCGACGACGCGAACGGAGCCAATGTAAGGAACACAGTATCCGGCGACGACAACGTTACATTCGTCCGTCTACAACCGCAGCTCAACGATTCGCCACATACCTTTCACCTTGTCCATGGCTCGCCTTACGCGTGAGAGCAACACAGCTGAGAGGGCTGTGTCCCCCTTCGCATGGGAGGAGGAGGAGGAACGCTGGCGGCGGAGGAGGAGGAGGATACAAATCTCTGCCGCTCACTCAAGCCCGACCCGGGCAGGCCATGGAAGAAGGGGTGTGGATTGTGGAAAGTGGGGTGGGGTCCGGTCTCTTTTTGCTCCCTCCCATCCTTTCCCTCCCCCTCCATTCCCTCCTCTCTCATCCATTCCCTCCCCTCTCCTTCCTCCCTCTCACTTCCCTCCCCATCCCTTCTCATCCCCTCCCATCCCTCCCTCCCCATCCATTCCCTCGCCTACCATCCATTCCCTCCCATCCCTCCCTCCCCTCCATTCCCTCCCATCCCCCACCATCCCTCCCATGCATCCCCTCCTATCTCATCCCTCCCATGCATCCCCTCCTATCTCATCCCTCCCATCCCTTCCCCTCCCTCCTCTCCCTCCCTCCCATCCCCTCCCTTCCCTCCCTCCCGGTGTTGCGAGCGGGGTTGGATGGAGGAGACCCAAGGTCGGGGCCACGCCCAGCTGCGGGGCTATTCACGCCTCATTGCCAGTCTCATCGGCAGCTCGATATTGTATTAACTAACCGTAGTGATGTACATGCTGTGTGTGTTGGGGGGGAGGGGCACTCTTATCTAGGAGTGGATTGACAAAAGGAGCTCTATCAGAATCTCTATTTATCCTGGAGAAATCCGATGAGAAATCCGTATCTGTACATTCATCATTATCAACGGCCATGGTCAATCCACTGCTGGATGACAGGGGCCCGACCATGGGGACTGCTTCGGGCGTGCTTCACACCGCGCGCTGCAAAATGCGGGAGCTCAGCAGGGCAGTGCAACAATGGATTTTTTGTTGCAACACTTTCCCTCTGTTGACAGCGGTGGCCTCACAACAGCAGCAGCAGCCGACGAAGCCGGGTGTAATACGCACGGCACGACGTGGCCGTCCAACAAAGCAACCCTCGAGCCGTCGTTCTTGGCTTCCGAGATCTGATTCGAGCGTACGCATTAACAATGCCGCCGAATCCATTCGTTGGGCTCATGTATTTAAATAATGAAGCGGAGGACTTTATGCAATAGCACGCTCCAGAAAATGTTCATTTACACGCAGGATATAAGAGCTTCCACGGATCCTGCGTTCGGCTGTTTGGCCCGCGGTTCCTTTGCGGTGTGAGCGGTGTGGAAGGGACTTTGGCGCACCCGGGAGAATAGGTCGTCGCGTTTATCAGAGGACTGCTCCCAATACGAGGGGTCTGCGTGCACACACGGGGCTTGTGAACAAGCTTGCTCGTTCCCTAACACCTCCTGGGGATCTCGCTGTCCAGGGGAATGCCATATTGAGTTTCACCAATCTGCGTGATCCACAAACCCTCAATTACCTCCAAAGTGCTGGGTTGCAGGCATCCGCCACCCCTTAAAACCCTTTTTATCCTGCACTCATACGCGCCCACGAGCAGCTCGTCTGTTTAATCCGCTGCTGGATGAGTGTACGAAACGGGTGCTGCTACAGGAAGACCCATTTCTCACAGTCACTAGAGTTACTGTATTTACACATTCAACAGCGGCATTCACATTCAGTTTTCACCGTGTAAGTTAGTTATGCATGATATTTGTGAAAGTTAAAGAAAATGTTAAATGCTTTTAAAACGGAAATGTCACGAACATGTGGATCCTTTGTTGATATATACCAATGAGTTCATATCCTTTGTGCTCATATATTATAATACACTATATAAATGCACAGCCCTTTGTCAATCCACTGCTGGATGGATACCCTTTGTTGACGGGTCGTGGAGGTTATTTTTTTCATACTCCACTGCCCAGTTCGGTTTGAAGCTCCATTAATTAAAGATATATTTCAAGTGTTGAGCCTCTTTATTAGTCGCATAATTGACGTGTCTATTAGGCTGCGTGCATGCAAATACGTGTTGTTACACAACAGACCATCAGCTATTGACTCAAGGGCAATATCTTCCTACTTTAGCATTCCGAAAAGATGCCTACCCTGGTATTGGTGGGAATAGATGAGGTTCACCTACATACTCGCATACATTTTACTACCACGCGAATACTGCAAATCGTATTTTTTGTTGCCACGGTTTTCTGCACGAACATGCATTGTATTTTGTATTAACTACCCTATTTTTTTGTTACCAGTTGTGTTGTTTTTGCTATACTTGGCATGCCAGGTCTCCCTTGCAACACAAGAGACTTGTCTAAATGTCCACTCCTTTAGTTAAAGTCGATGTACAACCCCCCTTTTTAAATTAAATACACTGGGTGGTTGTGGAAAATAGGGGTTATTTTAACCAAATTTTACCACGCCGGTCAGGGTGGGTTGGTTAAGGCAGGGAGCAATGTACAGTCCGAAATTTGTCCATGTTATGTATATAACAGAGTGCAGCACTTTGTTACCGTGAATAATTAATTCCTGTAATTGAGAGTACATGCTTTGCCATTCCACCCTATGGAAAGCCATATGAATTTTGAATAACGACTGACATCTAAGAACCTCAATTTCCCTTATCCACAGATAATTACCTGTGCCACTATCATACAGCGCATTGTGCTGTACAGAATGTAGTAAATATTGCTGCATATTCGTCAAATGTTACATCAGATCGTTTCAACCGTTAAATTTCAAGATCAACTACAACACGTGCCATATATCACAGCACTGCACTCACGACTCCGCCTTTTGGTTACGTTCCATAACCGTTTTTCGTCGGCGAAAGGAAGTGGTTATTTCTGGAATTCTACAAAATGCACGTGTGGGCGGTCGTCACAGATGGATGAGGGTTGCAGTGGAGGAAGTGACATCAACATTGAGTAAACAAACTCCCAACAGTGGACAGAGAATGGTTGTTCAGTAGAGGTGCATCTATACACTATTTCACATAACTTAACATTATATTAGCATGTACATTGAATATTTAAGCATGCTACTTGTGGTTATTAAGTGAAAGATGTTTCGTACTGTAGTTGCATGTTAATTAGAAAAACTAATTATTGTCCCAAGCTTTCAACTACTCCAGTTACAATATAATTTACCAGGGAAATCTGTAAATCGTTTCTGCATTTTTAACAAAAAGCACACAATGTCGTTGCAGACTTTGAGGAAAAATGAACTGAATATCATAAGGCCACTGATGTAATTGTTTTAAGGGAATATAGTTGGTGGTGAAGACTAACAATGGAGTGGTAGCCAAAAGGAACACGCCTGACCAGAGTTGGAACGATGAATCAGCTTGCGTGCAGATGGATTATTGCATTGTGAAACTGTGCCAGATGGCGATGATGACTTTGGAAGGCCTTCATCCAGCAGTGGATAAATCATGGCCAATGATGAATGCAATTACTCGTGGCTGCATCATAACTATTTGGCAGATGACTTGGGGTAACCAGTCAATAGTAATGAATGCACCAGTCACGCTTTTAATTTCCACGAGGTCTGCCAATATAACACAATGTTTTCATGTCATTCAATGTATCATGTTAATAATCATAGCCCGACTCAAACAGTAGCTGTACTTTATTTTTTGTCCTTAAATAACCCATTGATATTTTTTTCCAAACATTTCTGATACAGGTACTACTGTATTGGAAAAAAAAGAAAAATACTGTTTTAATGTGCTATCCAATATTTGCAACAAGGCATTGTGTTTCTAAGCCAGCCGCTCCAAACATAAAAACATACACCAAAAGCTCTGAAAACAGGTCTGCAGTGCAATGCAAAAAAACATTCTCCTTTTTAAGTGTTTAAAAGAGATGCTGGAAATTGCAGGTGAGCTGGGAGGTGGTTGCACAATTAAATTTGATGCAAGAGAGAGAGCATTATCACAGAACACGCATTGGACACCTAGACAATTAGTGTGGGATAAACTCTAACATTAATTAAAATATCAATGATTATTGAGACTATTATAATTTACATTTGACCAAATTTCGCAACTTTTCCACAACAAACTGTTTCATGCTGTGTTGAGCTTCAGGAATTTGAAACAATGAGAAAAACTTCCACAATTACATGGCTAGCCACTTTACAGAGAAAAGAATGAAACAATAGGCACATCCAAAACAAGCAAGCTGATAATACAGCCGAAGGGGTTTTCAATATACTTTACAATCAAACTGTTTGAGATTAACAAGATGCGCAGTCCAGAATCTTTATTGTTTATTCTACAAGCAATGGCACACACTTCGATAGGGACAGAAACAAAAAGGTGACTACACAGTTCTTAGGATGAGAATTAAGCTCGTGCGTAGGGGAAGAATGCACCTTTGATAGGCTGACAGGGACAAGCCAGTTTCCACAATGACACAAGTCTTGCTGCATAGCAAACGTTGGAGCAAAAGCCATTCTAAGCGAGGGCTACTGAAAGCAAAATCTGCTGTAGCAAATGGCCACTTCCTGTACGCCAATACACGTAAAGCACTGCAGCACCTCAGCGCTGCTACAGGTACCTCAAACGCACGGCCCCTGTGGCTCAATGCTAGTGCCAATTCCGTGCACAGGCAATGCAAGCTAAACGCTGGGATTCAAATGAACGGCACACGGTCTTTACGTTTAAGCAGAAATACTATACGCTTCCTATCTTACCATCCTGTCGTTTTATTATTACTGTACTGTGTAAGCATTTTTCTTGTTTGTTATTAATGCATTTTAAATGTGCACTATTACTCTGCCATATTAGCAAAGAATGTGATATGCATCATAACTACTTTGGCAAACATTTAAATGCCCTTGTTTTTAGCAAGAAACTACATTTCTAGATCATATATTATCATAATAATTATGCATACAGTATTCCTAAGAAATTAGAACTTCATTAGGGGTAATACATTCTTATTTCATAAAATGTCACAAATGGTTAATCTTTGTTAAAAATACATTGGCTAATAACTGTATTAAAAAAGAGAAAACAGGTTAATGGTGGTGATTTGTGAGGCATTTTTTTGTCCTATAACAGCAAAGCAGGCACAAAACTTACAGAAAGCATTATCACTACGACATATCGCACTCCACTATATACCAAATGAAACATCGGGTTTTAAAATAAGTACGGTTGTGTATGGTGATGTTAAGTAACTATTGACTTTCACTATGAAACAGAGCAAGTTCTCGTCATTTTGTGCTTAATAAAATACAATTTGTACATTTCAAAACTCTAAAAAGCTACTGAAAAAGTGAGCTCAAAATACATTAAAATTTGTTCAGTGGAAATGTGTTTTTTGGTAAATTTAGATTTTAAAAAGGAAAATATTGAATTTTAATATAGACATTCCCTTAGAAATTGATTGTTTCATAATGAAAAGTCAATATCATTTCCATTCTTTTTAAAATATATTATTTCTGTTGCCAAAAAGTTGGTACAATATTAAACGCATGACCAACTGTGTCAAAATATGATTGTCATTAACATAATTAACAAAGTAAAATGGAGAAATAATGTATTTATTACAAGTTTCTTCAATTAATCACAATCTCGTAACTACAGTAGAATAATTCCAAGAGTTAAAATTAAAGGAGACAATTATAAATAATCTTTACCAATACTTTCAACCACACAAATTTATTTTATTTGATGAGCATGAATAAAGAAAGTTGAAGCTAGAAGTGACAATCTTACATTTAAGTTGGCTCTTTGCAGACTGCTTGTGTATTGTAATTCTATACAGTTTCCAGTGTAACTTTAGACTCGTCAAATGTCGTGCTTAAATTCTGCTTTACATGATAATATTAAGGTGTACACGTTTAAATAAGGGTATGTTAATTGTGGGTGTTTTATGATGTAATAAGATATGGTACACTAAGCACTTAGTCCAAATACTAAAGTGTAGCTTTGTGAAATACATCAAAGCTGACTAAAGGCTGCTTATTGTGGCAAGTCAGGCTACATTAATGAAAGCCAGAACATGATTAAATTTATATATGTAACAACAACTTCACATAACACATCATATAGTCACTCATCGGTATAAGTGTATGCTAAGTTTTCATCTCTAAAGATCACATTTTTGAGTCTATTCTATGCTTACAAAATAAAACAGAAGCTAGATCTGCTTAAAACTGCAGCAAAGCATTTAGCTGTTGTGGCTCGTTAGTCTAACGGACAGCAGTTGACAACACCATCTCTATACAGCAGCTAAAGGCAAACAGGACATCATTACTACACCTATAGGTGTCGTGTGAATATTCGTCGTAGGCTATGAAACGTCAAGTGTCCTGGTAAAGCTTCAATTGCAGCACTGTCACAGTTGTATGCCTTGGCAATGTGAGTGAGCGTTGTGGCAATATTACAGAATGCTTAACCTTTGTATAACATAGTCATACACTGAACACCTTCTACGTTATTCCTTACAGCCGAATGCACTCGCACCAATCCTCTGCGTGTACTCCTTTAACATGTATATGGAAGTACATCCCTGCAGTAACTGCATCTTTTCATGTAAGTCGTGGAAGCATATTATAGTATTTAACATCACACAAATTGCTTCCTCGACTGTAAATGTGTGCAGTTGCTACATACGATTCCTAAATATCTCTATGTCTTTCATGCAATTTTCATTTTACCAAATAATAAGTCACTTGGTCTAAATCCACCAAAGTCTTCCTATGTGTGTGTTGTAATTATCTTGTAATATTTTATCCTTTATATGTAGTCTCACCATAGTGTTTGGCTTTTTTTTAGCAATGTGCAGCATGGAGTGTCATCTCTTGTGATTAAATAAATTTATGATCACCGAGCCAAAAGCTATTACTTGTGACCGATTCTGCTTCCTCGAAGACTCTGCTGTGTTAGAACAGACGGGCCTTTTTCTTGAGGTCATTCTTCTTCCAGAGGGCCAGGCGATCAAACTCCTGGATGGTCATCCCAAAGATGTTGTCAAACTCTTCTGGAGACAGGTGGCGCTATAAAGAGAACATACAAAAATAATGGAAACACGTCTGTGTCACATTTTTCAAGATTAATTAACAATATTCATCTCCTTCTAAATAGTGACAGGAATGTGATAGATGGTGGTGGGTTAAGGAATCCTTCTTCCAGCACTGGATTGACCATGACTGATTATGATGAAAGGAGATGATTAAAATATTGTGAAAATTAAATACACATTTTTTTAAATGCTTATTTTCGTAAATCATAACCCTTAGTCAAATGAATGTACTGATAGTCTGATGAACCGCTAAATGTAAAGATTCCATAATATTTTAAATAGAAAGAACAAACATGATTGAACTTAATACTTTGAGGGGAAGCTTCTATCTTTTTCGAAGTATTCAGATTTAAACATCATAAAATGCATATTTTTTCCTTCAAAACCGCTTGAATCCAAAATATCTCAAAAACAATAAAAGATAGAACAATGGTTCTCACTTTAAGCTGTTTAAAGCTCTATCAAACAAAAAAAACACACAATCTTATATTTTGAACAGTTTCTGAATGTTTATGTGGCACTTAAAACTTAGATTTGTGGGCCTTAAAATGAAAAATCTCCCATTTTCAGATTGTTTCCTGTAGTTTGTGTCCTAAAAGCTACCTATGTACCAAATTTCAGCTTTCTACCCTGTCAGGAAATACCCGAGAGGTTTTTGAGACCCAGATTAAGGCCTTTATTGATACAGATATTACACAAACACACACCATTTCATGAACAATTGCACCATCTTTCCTGTTTGCCTGAGTACTGCACTTTCCCGAGAAAATATGTATTATTACCTCTAGGCGGGCACGATCCACATCTCTGGGTAGCTTGGAGCGCACTCTGTTGGTCACGAGGAGTGCCTCGTATGGATACACCTATAGTAGAACGTTTATTATGTGAGCCATCAACATTCACCGGACCTCGGATAATATGAATTTAGCACATTCACACTGTATATCACCCATGTTTTTCCATGATTGTTTTTTAAAGTTAAGAAAATTGGCTAATAACTAAAACATGCTCAATAATTAAAGGCACACATGTACATTTCCTCATCTATTCCACATCATGAAAAATGAATACTGACTTTTACTACATTGTTAAGAACTACAAATACTCATTCCCTAAATGATTAAAGTAATATATGTAACACTCCCATGAACAGGCAACTACCGACCACCAAGCCAGTAAATAAAGGAATAGCAAGAAGATGCATTCATTGGTGTAAAGTTACCATAAATGTTGAGATTAGTAACCAAGGATTTTTTGTTAACTGAAATGAATCAATATCTGTGCAATACTGGAGTGCAAAAAATATACACTTTTTTTATTTTGCAAAACTGCATTATTAATAACCAATGAACCCACACCCAACAAATGGCACAGCTTGGTCACCTGAGCACCTGACAATACTTTACACCAATGAGGGAGGGTGCGCAATACAGACGCTGCGCCTACCTTGTGCGCGAACAGAGAAGGCATGGAAACACCTTTCTCCATTCTGGGCACATGCATGACACCAGCATGCACTGGCTACAGGAAGACAAGACAAAGCCACGTGCAGCAGGGGAGCAGAGCAGCAGTCGAGCAGACACAAATAACAACAATAATTATAATTATGGCTGTAGCTAGCTTTGAGTAGACCATCTTCCTCTGCCGAGTGATCACACAGAAGTGACGCCAACATTAGATTATAATCCAATTTGTCATGACAGTTTAGACATGACATCAATATTTTGGACCCAAGTGAAATTGGGATTCTAGATACAGCCATGAAAAGAAAAGGCAAAAATTGTTCTCCCATGATATGCAAACGCCATGCATGACTATTGCATTCTGCAATGTCTTAAGGACTGGTGAACCTGTGCCAGGTTTCCAAACCAAAAAGATATCCATTTGCAATATCATAAATAGAATGCCAAAGAAACGGAAAGCATTGAAAGGTCTTTTCCACTTAACATTATCCCATGGAATGCTGTTAGGCAATGATAATTATTGCCACTGGTGTTTTAAAATTACGTTTTTTTGCACACACTTGCATGCTATAGAAAGCATGCACACTGCATATAGCTCCATGGGTTCACCTTAAGTGAACAGACCAAAATAAACATATTCAGGAAAAGCTGTGAAAGGAACATGTCAGAAGAGAAAAGGCAGCGATGATGCATTGTAACTGAATGATATTAAAGATATCTTACCTTATATTCTGTAGTTGAACAGCATGGAAAAACAAAACAAAATATGTAATGTTACATTTTACATTCACATGTGGGGAATGCATAACTAATGAATAAATGACACAACATTGACAAAAGTTTGGTTTATGAAACTTCATTTTATCCACAATCGCATAAAGATATACAAAATAAGACACATGCTTGCCTCTGGTTCCCCAGCTGTCACTAAAGTTGTTGGATCCATACTGAGTGAAGTCCATTGATTGATGCTGCAAAAACACAAAAAAACTAAAATTAAGAAATTACATGGCAAACTGCATTACTAAACAAAGCATTGTATCCGAGAAGAGACGAGGAATAAGGCAAGAGTGGTACCCATCTGACGGCAGCTAAAAAGTTAACTCGGATGACGAGGACATAAATTAAGGAGAGGAAAACCACATCGGAAGAAAGGTGATCAAAGCCCAAGAGGAAAATCTAGAAGAAGGCGGTGGTTTGAAGTGTTGAGCCACGATAAAGGAAACCAATGGAGCTATGCACTTTTAAATCCAAATTGAAAACTAATTTCTTTAGAGCTGCTTTTTGTGTTTAGTTGTCCTTCCATCGCACCTCCGATTAGCACGGTTGGCTACGTACAGTGCGAAAGAAGTTCAACAAATCTTGACTTAAAGCTTTCGTGACTGCAGGAATTTATATTCTTTGGGTCTTTTGGTAAAGTCACGTAGATAGGTTCAAAGAAAAAAACAAAAAATAACAAAAAAACAATGAGGTTTCGATCGCAAAACAAGCGTTCGTCATCTTCCTGATGACGAACACTTGTGTCGCGATCAAAATGTCGTAGTTTTTTGTTATTTTCTTTGAACCTATCTACGTGACTTTACCGAAAGACCCAAAGAATACAAGTTTCAGCATACATATAGACATGAGTCTGCAGTGGATGTGGAGATGGCCCAGGACAGGAATGAGTGGAGAAGGGCATCATGAAGAGAGACTCCTCATCAGGTGGGGAATAACGCCAGGATGAAGACGGATAAATTTTCAAACAAACTTTACGGTAATAGCAAACACTTAAGTGTCCGTATTATATTTCCAAGGGATTACATTTTTATACTCTCTACTGGTAAATTAACTGTGCATTATTTCAATACTTTACCTGTCCAAACTCAAAGTACATTATGAGACCTCCTTTGCCAGTAACAAGATATAGTAATAGGTTTTACCCTTTTAACTGGCACAAAAACTGACACCTTTATTCAAGGCATCATGTTTGCAATAACCACAACACAAGCAGTCAAAATGATAGTGCGCTGTTTTTGAGTTGTACGCCTTTTGGCGTCTTCTGGTCCAACACCAATGGAGACTAGGCTCTAAGAAAAGCCGTCTCGGGTGTGGACCAACCAAATTCAAAGACAGTGCATATTATTATCAGAGTTGTCTCTTTTGTTTGCATTTTGACTGCTTGTGTTGTGGTTATTGCAAACATGATGCCTTGAATAAAGGTGTCAGTTTTTGTGCCAGTTAAAAGGGTAAAACCTATTACTAAACTCAAAGTAGCTGAGTGCAGCTAGGCCTGACGAGCCAAACCCAAGCGAGCTGCGATATAGCAGCAGGACATGCACGTGACAACCAATTACAACGCAAGATACATTGAACAGGGTGGGCATGCACAAATAACAGCATCAAGATGGCCTTGAAATAAGTCTTAAAACAGACTTCATAATGTTGCATTTCCATTGAATTTCAGATTTGAGCACATTAAATATTTACATGCAAATAGCTAAGCCCATTACTGTGCTGCATTGTTCTCAGATCGGGTTTCCGGGTTGTTCCACGATGTCCAGCACACACGACGCTGAACAACACGTGGTGCAGCACGAAAACAGAATCCAAGACCATTTTACACGCTTTTTAAAATATATAACTGCACTCGAAATGAAAATGCCTCACACCTAAGGATGCTTTCATTTATTAAAGTAAACAAAAATGGTGAAAACAACAGCAATGTTACCATGTCTAACAAGGAAACATTTTGCATTACATAGGCAGCGCCTACTACTACCACCTCCGATAAATGCTCTCATTACTCATGACAGGAAGCATCAGAGGAAAACGTAGGAAAAAGTAAAAAAGGCACAGATGAACGTGGGGCCTCCCGAGCTGTTGTCCTTACCCTTTGAATTCCGTTTGTGCCGTAGCCCGGAAGGGATGCGGTCTTGGAGGGGTCTACAGTGGGCACATAGGCGAGGAAGCGGACAACATGATGAGGGGAAGGATAGTGGGCACAAATGCAGGGGTTCAAAGCCTCCAATGTTGTGCCCTTGGCACTGAGCTGTGGGGGTCCTCAGTGGAATGGACTTTCCAAAAGCCTTTAAATATTTTCAGGTATTCTCCAGTACTTTAAACAAAAAAAACTAAATTTATTTACTGTGTAGGTTTTCGTGGTTAGGCTGCAAAGCTCTCTGATGTGCTTTTCGGATTATTCGGCACGATGTCCAGATATTTCATTCCACGTGCCGCGTCCTTCTATATTCTAGGACATGATGCTGAACTGCGGCACAACCCAAAAAACTATTTGGAGAGCTTAACAATATTTTACGTTCCAGAGACGTCCCACCTTTCATTGGGAAAAAGGACTGCTGAAGATGTGCTCAGTCAGGTCATTGCCAAGGGCACATGTTGCTCAATGCGCTACTCTGCACAAGAAGACAATCACTAAAAGCACATACGCTTAATTGGGAATCCCTCCCTAGTTGGGACTAACGCAACAGGTACAAAATAATCACCCGTGTGTGTGTTTCTTGTTATGAGCTGTTAAGCAACGACTCTATGATCTACACAACTACATGTGCTGTGAACCTACCAGCTTCCCCAGAAGGCTGCACTGTCCGTGTGGGTGCTTACAAAACAGTTCCAACACAAAGAATACGTTTGAGTTTCACACACATTACGGGTGACCAACAGAGAAAACTTCGGACAACTGCGACAATGATGGAAATTTGTTTCAAGAAAAAAAGCCATTAAGTAGATGTAAACCAGACTTTATAAGTGTACGTACATTCATACATACAAGGAATTATGTTACACACCATGTTTTTTTTTGTCCTACAGCATGTGTGCTTGTGGCCAGTTAAAGAGTGTATACATGTAACAAAACTCATTTCAGGCACACCAACAACATTACATATTATTTACAGAACTGTTAAAACAATTAAACGGTATTAGATGTAGCACAGCTTATTAATGTATTATACATGGGAAAAAACATGAAAATAGTTGTATGTATTCTGCTTGTTTGCAAGAGGTGACACCTGTGACGTACAAAAATCAGAACGATATCATGGGAAGAGAAGTATCTCTCAAGACCAGAAGAGGCAATAGCTGCACATAAATACATTATCGAGCAGTGTATTATTACACAACTGACAAAAAAACTAGGAAATGTTAATGACCTGGGGACAGATTTTCCTCAAAATAAAGGATGATCCTGGGGAAATCAGGACTGGTGGCAACCATATTCTTCACATGCATTTTACTTTCCCTAACAACATCGCAGCTAAGAAGAGACGATTATTGATTACAGTTCGTCAAACTCACAGGCATTGAGGGAGGTGTCGTGGCGCTTGCCGAGAGGTGACAGCCTGCTGCCGGCAGTGGGACTGCGCGATACCAACAAGCCATCCTGTATATCAGCTCCCTCCCTCTCCTTCTCTTCCTTCAGAATCAGCTTGCCTAATCCTGACTGCACCTGAAACGCACACCGACACAATACACTTCAAAGCTTCACCCTTGACGCTGACACGTGAAGGTGAAACAGGCGAGTTGACCAGTAGACTAAACAGGAGGGCAACTGCCCTCTGGCGAGATTTAGTCAAGGCACCGAAAGTGACAGGGTTACCTTGCCGAGCTCCTGCCCCTGTAGCTGCTTCCGCTTTTGTTTCTCTTCATCGTCCATGCTGGGCAAGGAAGGGGATTTCTTTCTCCATTCTGAACCTTTGCACACATTCAGAAACAAATATACCCTACTTAGCCTTATACATTATATGGGCAAGGGGTGCTAGCAAGCATCTATTCATGCTGGAATGACCTTTACCAAACACCACCCGGATCACCATTCTCTCCCCAATGCTGATGCTTTCACAATCCACCAAGTACTCAATTAAGACCGAGTCGACTTAGGGGAGGCCCAAGACAAGTCCTAATACTACTTGCCACTGACATTGTTCATGGCCAGGAATGGAATCCAAGTTACCAAGTTGTGTAGCTCTGTGTTAACTACTGCACCACTCTGCTAACACTCTGCAATAACACTCCCTCTCATCATTAGACCTCCTTTGCCAGTACCAAAATGTAATAATAGGGTTTTTCCTCTTTTTTCTGGCAACAAAACTGAAACCTTTTTACAAGGATTCATGTCTGCATTAACCACAATACCTACAGTCAAAATGCAAACAAAAAACATACTATGATAATATATGCATTGTCCTTGAAACCGATTGGTCCACACCAAGGGACGGCTTTCTTTTGAGCCTCGACCCAATTGGTGCTCGACCAGATGACGCTAAAGGGACGGCTTTCTTTTGAGCCTCGACCCAATTGGTGCTCGACAAGATGACGCCAAAAGGACTGGCGTCATCTGGTCGAGCACCAATTGGGTCGAGGCTCAAAAGAAAGCCGTCCCTTGGTGTGGACCAATCAGTTTCAAGGACAATGCATATATTATCATAGTATGTTTTTTGTTTGCATTTTGACTGCAGGTATTGTGGTTAATGCAGACATGAATCCTTGTAAAAAGGATTCAGTTTTGTTGCCAGAAAAAAGGGGAAAAACCCTATTATTACTCCCTCTCATCTTCCTCCCTTCGCCCTGCCACCCCTACATAAGCATGCGCACAGACAGCTTCTGTTAATCTTCCACGAGTGTCTCTTTGATGTTATGCTAGTATCAGTGGGGCAGAGAGAAGCTGGTTTGGTTTATGGCTAATGTGCAGTACGATGTACATTGTGTAACCATACGTGAAAATGTACAGCCTTGTGTTGACACGCACCTTCCATACTGTGCTTAAGAGTTACCACCTCTGACGTACAAAAAAACGGGACATAGCCACGGCAAAAAAGAACATCTCACAATATCGAAAGCGGGGAGAACTACAAGTAAATGGACTATGATACAACAGACAAAACCAGGTCTAGTTAATGTCCAAAGAAAGCTTACAAATCTCCCAGACCAACTGCCTAAAACAAAAGAGAGGACGATTCTGGAAAAACCAGGACAGGAGGCAACGCTAATAGGTGCTGTGGGTGTATGTACCAAGGGAGGCGGTGGATGGTGGACACGGCCAGTGCTCGCTCTCAATTTTGGCGGGAACCTCAGGATCGGGGGCCTGCGCTGCTGGGAACTTGGCCGACTGTATAATTTCCTCGCTTGTCTTACGCTTTGCAGCCATCGCAGCTGGATCTGTGTGATTTGGGGAGAAAAAACCTCAAGCTCAGAAAATGCACGCTTTAGTGCGCTGGTCACACGTTTGGATATATTATTGTGACTATTACAAGCATCATTCTAAAATGAAGCACTGTTTGATCTTCATCCACTGTATGCCAAATAAGTAAATCATATCTGCGAATGGATATGTTGCTAATAATCTTATTATGCATTTTATCATTAATTCAATACAGCAGGTTTTATATAAAAAAAAACTACAAGAAAATTACCATAACAAATGTAACTGTATTAATGGCGTGGATAGAACTACGCATTTTTATAAAATGAGGAAATCAATAACTTTAGGATTGTTTAACATTAAAAAAAAATCAGTATTATTAGGAGCAACCCATACTTACTTTGAAAAATGATGATCAGAGGTTAGCAGCCAGTTAATTGTTTAGAATTATGTGAGACAACACAAACAAAAAGAAAGTAGAAAGTCAAAATAAAAAGTGAAATGCAACCCGAAAACAATAATATTTTACACACACACACAAACAGTGCAACTACCGATAACTGTTATTAAAATGAAATCAACGAATGATATCTCAGCAAAAAAATTCCGACAGTATAGACCATGCAATTATTAAACAGTTTATTTGAGTTAGACAATTTGGAAAGATTGGTAAATTATCATAAAAAACCACACTACCATGAACCATCATTATTCAATGTCGAACAGGTTAAAGCTTTACCGTGTTGTTTGTAGATTGGAGGCTTTTTGTAGATATTAAGCGAAGCATCTGTGAAGATAAATGAATTACGTTTAATAGAGTACACCAGGCATTGCTCTTGGAAGGGCGAGTATAATAAATACAATTTCCAACTGAAATAATAATATATAGTATTTATATTTACACACAATAATAAGAAAAGCAAAACAAATTTGCAAACACAATATGTTTTAACGTTGTTGTACATTGCATTGATGTACAGTTATTGTTGGAAAACTCACTCAACAATATAATTTATACGAAATTGACAGCTGCAACTTATTCAATTGAATTAATTATCTAAAGAGAAAACATGCAACAAACCACAAGACCAGAGTGACATCAATGGATGTAATGTGTTGCAAGAAGTGTTCTTTTATTTACACTGGACTACCATTCCAATATTCTAAAAGTGCACAAGAGACATCACAAAACAGTATTAAAATGGAAGTTATAACACAAATGGAAAAAGCCGTCATCAGTTATGGTTGGGGTCGAGTTAGTATGAATCTGATGACAGACATCTGGATAACATGGTGCTCGCAGATTCATATTTATCAGCCCTTTTTGACTTTATCCAAAAGCAACTCTTTAAGCCTCTGGTCATTTGCAGAAATGAACAGACAGACGCACATGTGCTTGGCGGCGATGAATGGAACCCTGAAGTTTGAACACAGAGATGACACTCTCTCTCTCTCTCTTTCCCCCCCCCCTCCCCATCAGGTCCTGCAGCAGTTGGCCCTACCTGGAACGTGAAAGTGTTTGGGAGCCTGAGACAGTGTCGGAGTTTGGGGCCGGCTGTCGGACCAGAAGGGGAATGGTGAATTCCGCCCACTCACTGAGTCTGGCCCTTCGGCATCGACAGCACAGGAAGCAAAATGAGAAGGTAAAGAAGGGGGGGAAAAAAAATCGCCAACGCAACGGAAATCAAACAATAACGGACTCAAGTTTTGAAAAAGGAGGGGAGGAAAAAAGCATGCAAATAATGTCAAAGGCCGCTGCAGGATGTTAGTTAAGCAAGAAACGAATTCAGAGAAGGGAGGTCTTCTCCAGTTGCCCATTTCCAGTGTTCCAAAAGATCACAGAAGTGCGCTATTAACGAGGAGTTGTTTTTTTGTGAAAGTTTATTTTTTGCGTTCCCTAGTGCTTATCAACATGGCAGCACTGCTCATTTCAGTCTAATCTATTCAATAAACAATCCAGCGAAGTGACAATGTTTCAGGTTGGAATTGAAACAGGGTGTTTGTGTTGAGGGTATAATGGGGAAAGAGACTACGTACGGTGCAATAACTCGCCTAAAGAAAGAGCAAAACAGGGTGTTTGTGTTGAGGGTATAATGGGGAAAGAGACTACATACGTACGGTGCAATAACTCGCCTAAAGAAAGAGCAAAACAAACCTTTAAGGAAATGTCAAATAGTAACGAGGCTAAATTTGGGTTTGATCACGTATTTTGTTATTTATATTTGTATTGTTTAAAATAGTATTTCAAGATTAAAACTTGATATTGGTTTATATAAATTGGCCTCAAATGAGGCCATAAAAATAATATAATTGTTGAATCGTCTAAAACAAACGAATTGAAGATCGTTAACACAACGTGTCGGGCATTGAACGGGTCAAGTAAACTCATGCGGTATATATCTGCACAGGGATAAAGCTGGGCACTCATGCTTTTCGTTTAAATGGCAGGCGTGTGGCCAAGTGTTTGTTTGCAACTTGTGTGCAGACACCCTAAAAAGGGTAGCACATGCATTGGATTACACAGACTGCAAATGCGGTTCGAAAAGCAAATGCATTGTGCTGCATTTGCTTCCCCATACATCACGCCTAGAGTTTAGTATAAATACACATCGCCACTGCAAGTGTGTGTGTGCAAAACTGAAATTACGCCAAAAGCTCAGGCACAGCAACATTTTAAATGAGAGCCACTCGGGGGGGATGAGTTGAACATTGCGTGCGGGGGTGGGGGGGGTGGGACAACCAATGCCAGAAACCTCCTCCCCTTACCTTTGATATTGGGCACATAGTTGTGTTTGTTGGGGGAAACAGGGCGGCTAGTGATGGTGGTGGTGGAGGAGTCAGTGTTGCTACTAACAGTACGTGACTGTGAGCGAGGCACACCGGATGACAGCGACTCTGCAAGCGATGACCATGCATGTGCATGGGACAAGAAAGAGATAAGCATGATTCTACGGTCTTCATTTAAATTGCTTTGCTAAATATAAAGCAGAAGAGTCGAAATATGCAAAGCATCTTTTTCATGATTTTAAATCCTCTTTTATAGCAAAACAGAGGCTGGAAATTACTTATTGAGAGGCTTGAAATTACTTATGTAGAGGCTGCAAATTACTCAAATTATAAATAACCCTCGATTCCCCTTGGTAAATGTGAGGCGTAATGTGTTTTTAGTTATTAGGATGGGGTATTACAGTGCAATGTGATTTATAAATCAACCAATGCTTACTGTTTTTTTTTTCGGTAAAGTCACATAGGGAGAAAAAAAGCAATAAAATGTATGTATTTATGTAGGGAAAAAAATAAATAATATTTATTGATATTTTTTCGTAGTTAAAAAAATAAATTAAATTTATTGATTTTTTACCTACGTGACTTTACCCCAAAAAACAAAGAGTATGAATCCTTGCAGTCACGAAAGCTTCAAATCTGGAATCAACCAATGCTTCACATAAATCATCTAAAATGGACATGCTGAGCACAATGTAAGTGGTTATGCTTTCGTGAGTACCCAAAGAGATGTGTGTGGGGGGGGGGGTGGGTTTATATATTTTCTTAACAAACAAAAAAAAATCACAAGCTGCATCGGGTTCATTGCTGGAAACAAAAAAAACTGAACGGCTTAAAGCGGTGGTGGCACTTGTGGCAGCAGCTGGCAGTGACGTCGTATGGGATTAGACGACAGTTGCACAATCGCCCCCCCCCCCCACCCCCTGTTGAGGGGAGGGCGAGGACACCACCTACGTCACACCACTGCTACAAAAACCTCACTTTGAGGATGGGTGGGGGGGGGCTGGCAGCTCAGCACACAGACGCTATGCTGGAGCTGAGGATGGAAACAAGAGTCGGGCAAAGCACGCCTTGGTCAGAGACCGCAAGGCTCACCTGGACGGTGGAAGTGCTGCGGGGAGCGTGCGGTGGGCGGCACGTAGTTGTGGCGGGCAAAGTGGGCGGCGTTGCCCGAGCTCTGGCTCAGGCGGCGCTCACCGCGCTCCCTCCCGTCCTGGTAGCTCTGCAAGGACACAACGCGGTTCGTAATGCGTGAGCTTAACCTACGGGGAAAACATCAACAAATGTACATGCTTCTTTGGTTCTTTCGGTAAGAGCTTCAGTTGAAGCTCTGTCGTCCCCGACAGGTCTGTACCTTTCACCTGAAGACGGCCGCTTGCGTGGTGGCCGAAACGTCGTGAGAATTTTATTGTGTTATTTTATTATTTTATTCTCATTCTACGTGACCTTACCGAAAGAACCAAAGAAGATGAATCCTTGCAGTCACGAAAGCTTTAAATCGAAATGTACATGCGTTATTGTAAACGGACACAAACATTAATTTGGACTGCATTATAATTTTGAAATTGATACAATATGTTCAAAAAAACGAAGTATATTTTAGTATTTTAACAAGTGGTGGTTTATTGCACTGCGCTATGCAACCAGCGACCTGAGTTTGAGTCCTGGCCACGGTTAGCAAGGGGCAGTGATGTACGAATCGGCCTTGGGTGCCCTACCTTTACCAAGCCACAATGACTCACGTAGTGAAGCATAGTCCAATAAGTTCATATGACCGAAAGGCATGGGGAGGCCATAATTCAGAAGTGGATTGACAAAGGGCTGTGCATTGTGATTAGCAATTTTAATTCAGAAAATATTTACGGCATTTGTATTTACGCCGACACATTCAGTAGTCAATTGTGTTATTTTACATGTACACATTAATTTTCAACCCAATAAATGTCAAGCTGCCAATACGTGAGAATTGCCTCTCATTCGTCAGCGTGCATCATAATCTATGCCCCTATTATTTAAACCAATAAAAATAAGCTTGAATACACATGCACATATATTACTGTACATGAAATATACACTCACTTACTATACCATGTATGCACTATGTAAATATTAAGATTACATACAATGACACACACAACAACCCTCAGCCAAAATGGATGACAAACATGTATATTGTGTGACTTAAGGTATAAATAAGAGCTACCAGCATTCCAGCCAGTGTTTTTTTTAAAAATGCACAAATACAAAAACGATACACAGCCAGGTTGAGAAACCATACAATTACGCAACAGCACCAAACAACATGTTGCATCATGTGATAAAGTAACCAGAACACAAATGTATATATATGAACATACCGACACACACAATTGATATTTGTACACGCACAGCCCTTTGTCAATGCATTGTTGGATGATGGCCTACCCATGCGGTGGAGGTTGTGGGGGATCATTTGATCATAAACGTGGGAGCACAGAAGTACAAGACTAGATTTTGTTGCACTGCTTTTCACCATGTAGTCCCACAGCAACCTATAACAACCTGTCTGTGCATGATGGTCACCCATCCAAGCACTGCCCAGGCTCAATTCAGCCTAGAATCTGATTTGGTCATAGGCAATTGATATTTAGGCTGGCCAAAACTGTAGGTGGTACAATTCTGTTTTTTATTTAACATGTTTAAACCCCCTTTACCTCATAAGACGGGGTCGGAGAGATGGTCCGTGGGGAGAGCTGGCAGCAGTGACACAGAGACACGTGTGTTAGATCAAAGCAGAACGGCACAAATTAGTGAGGTGGTGCAGCTATATCTGCAAGCCATTGTACACCCACCAGCCACACTCCAAAGTCGGGTTAGTGCAACGCTGAACACATTTTTTTTTCCCGAGTCATGAGTTATGCACAACATTTGGATTTGGCCAGTGCAGCAACTGTGGCTCATTTTGGCAGTGCAACTCCAACAAGTACTGCCACAGTACCGATGGGTTACCATGCAGCAGGCCTGCGGTCGAGCAGTCTTTTCATTCAACAGAGGCGTGCACAAAGCAACAGCCGCAGGTCACATTATAAATCAGCCAATGCTTTCTCTTATATATTTTGTAGCTCCGTTTCCTAAATCATACCTCCCCAACGCTCTGCCGTTCGCTAAGGCTGTAGCGTTCCTGGCGCTCGTCCAGGCCGTAGCTAAAGTACGGCTCGTACGTAATCATGTCCGGGCGCTCGATCTCATAAATGGCTTTAACTTTGGGGATGGCAGCCAGGTTCCTGTAATCCAGAATCTCATTGTCCACTTTGGCCTAAAGTAGGGGAAGAGGGAAGGAGGGGATGGGGGGAGATCACAGGGAAGACAAGGAGGGAATCGGAAAATACCAGGAAAGGGTTCGGAACATTGGGTATGGGGGAGGGGATCAGGATGAAACAAGGAAAATTAGGGAACAAGGCACTACAACATTCTAGCAAAGAGACTTGGCTAATACCACAAGTGCAACATTCTGTAAACTGCATTGTGCGAGTGTACTACATTTGTTTACACTACTCCAACATTATCAATAATTATTATTATTGCATAAATGGTCACACACAATGCAGAAGTCAGACATTTTTAACTACTAGGATTGCCACCTCTGATGTATTGAAAAAAAACACCCGGGACATATCATGGTGAGAAGAATGTCACAATACTGGAAGAGAGGATAATTGCATGTCGATCAGAATCAGATTTATTTATACTGAGAAATCTGATGAGCTAAAAAACTCTTTCCACATATGTCCAGAAGGGGCGGTCAGAACATTACAACAAACAATACAAAACACATCAAAGGCATCATCTTGAGCGGCGCATTATTACGCAAATTACTCCAAGCAGCCATTTCAATGTCTTGAGAAGGACTTGCAGATTTCCCAGGACAGCGAACTCAACTAAAGGACGATCCTGGGAAAACCAGGACAGGTGGCAACCCTATCGAGTACCTGCATTGCACTGCTCAAAGCATTTTCTACAAAGGCGCCGAACGCCCCAGGCCAACGTTAAAGCTGCCACAGCAACAGGGCCCATGTGGGACTCACATATATGGTGTGCCCAGGAGAGCCGAGGCTGGAGCCTGGTCGCGAGGAGATGCTCTCCGACGAGGACCGGGTTGGCTGTTGGGGACACACACAGCGAGAAGTGATTGCATTACACGGAGCCGCGTGCCATCATCATTCTTTTATGAGCTGCACACAAGTGAATGGAATGATGACTCAACGGAAATATAACATTTAACAAAAACCTAATGTCACATGGGCATGCATCACAAGGAGAAAAAGACTGATAAAAAAAAACAAAAAAACACGTGTTCTGGAAAGAATAAGAACAAGCATTGATTCATATATGATAGAAGTATAGATATTACGTTGTTAAATATATATTCTTCAAAGAGAACTATATTGGGAACAGTTGTAGTGATATTCATTGTAAACAGCGTAATGAAATGCATCGCTCGTAGTTTAAAATGTTCTACAGGTATGCTTGATCCTAAGCTTGAAACCAACTTGTTTTACATCATAGTGCTGGTTAATGTGATCAGACAATATTAAATGACTTTTTACAAAACCTCTGCTCTTATTGAGCACTCTTTAAAGCAATATGCTTTCACCATCATGTAATATGAATTCATAAAAGACTATATGGTACTATAAACAGCCATCACTTAAAATGAAAACATGTTATTGTTCCTAACCACAAACATAATTTTCCACTTAAACATAGTATAGCATTAATAAAACTCAGCACTGAACAAAATTCACCTTTATACAGATGTGTGAAGACATTACTGTAAATATACATGATATAACAGGACATTTAAAGTTCACCTATAGGATCACAAATACAAGAATCAATTGCTAAAAAGGTGAGTTTTGTGTCTTAAATAAACCGGGAAACAACACACAGTTAAATATGAACATATTCTCAAATACAAATTCAGTCTTATAGCTGGATGACTTAGAATTTTAAGGAACTAAAAAAACACGTCGAAATATGTTGCTCAAATTAATTGCATTTTCAAGTGATGAATACATGTGAGTAAGAACCATCCTCGCCATGTTAGAAACATTGTGATATACAGGTCAAATTTTTGTCTGGAGTGAACAAAAAAATAGATCATAAAGGTATTAATGTGCGCAATGAACTCGCAATACGTTCAGAATCGTATAAGTTATCGTGATAAATTGCGTAAATACCATCGTTAAAAAAATTTCATACGGAAGCCAACATTAGAAAAATAATGAAGTTGAAGCTTGTCACCCACAGAGGGCGGACGAGACCAAGTCAGAATGAGCCTTGGAGAACAAAAAATATCCAGTAGGTGTCGCGTGTCTTGCTTGTCAAGCCAAGAGATGGGTGAGTTAAGATGTGAGGAATGGGGCGAGTGAAGGAAATTAGCAGTGAAATAACCCACGCATTAAGGCCCAGCCGGACAGCGTAGAAGCAGACAAACCTTTGGGCTGATGCGCCAGCGAGGCTGGGGAGAGAGCTTCTACAGGCAGAAGGTACATGGCATCAGAGACAGCCAGACAACAAGCTGTTGTTTTGTCATGCCAACAGGAGGGCAGATTGGGTGTCAGAAGGTCCTTAGCGATGTTGTGGGTCGTGTGCATTCAAATTGTCACCGATGACTATATTCTGCAGATGTTGCCACCGTTGAGCTATATGACCTCATGGGTTGTGAGCTACTATATTGAGCCCTGTAATTTAAACGCGTAATTTGCACGCTTTAATGAAATGTGACACCATGGGATTGTGTCATTGAGGCGCACTGCTCACAAGGCGACCACAAAGGTTCATGACCACACGGTTGAGAAATGAAAAATGTATTACCTTTTGTTTTTCCTCCGCCCTTTCTGCCCGCTTACACTCCGGGTGCCAGATGGAAGAGCCTTACAACAACAACACAATACGTAATTTTGATTTAAAGCTTTCGTGACTGCAGGAATTCATATTCTTGGTTCTTTCGGTAAAGTCACGTAGAAGGGAAAACAAGAAAATAAGATTGTTTTGTATTTTTATGATTTTATTGTTTCCCTTACTACGTGACTTTACCGAAAGAACCAAGAATATGCAGTAAATAATGTCAACGTTTTCCACCACACAAAACCCCCTTTTTTGCTCGTACCATCAGCACCATTCCAAAGACAACACACGTACCACGGTGCGGGAGAATTGTGTCCGCCACTCAACGCCGAGAGAGACCGGGCGGCTCACCTTGCATGAACATCTCTTCGCCCTCAGAGAACATCTGCTTGCACCTGACGCATCGTGCGCAGCTAGGGTGGTAGTGTTTCTCCCCTGCCTGCGTGTACAAGGGGAGAGAGAGGGAGAGTAGGAGCTTGACGTCAGCCACGTCACATGGTGTATTGGGTCACCGACGGCCGTGAACCCAACCAGTCCTGAAGATCCAGTCTCAAAAAAAAATCACACACACACACGGACATTTTTCATAGAAAACAAGCGAGCCGTGATTTATATTCTTGGTGTATTCGGTAAAGTCACCAAGAACCTAGAATATGAATCCCTGCAATCACGAAAGCTTTAAATCAAAATTTGAGCCGTGATTTATGAGAGATGGTACAAGAAAAAAGCCCGGTGTGATGTCAACGAGTAGAAATAAAGTTCCGGGTTTATGGTTGTGAAAATATCACACGGTATAGTGAAAATACATGTAACACTAAATCCAGTCAGACGAGTTCAACAGGGTGAGCAGCTCTTCTTTAGCAACGATGAGCAAAACAGTCATTACAGGGTGTACTTTATTATGATAAAAGGATGTGTTATCTCGCTTATGTAAAAATAACTGCTGGAGAGTGAATACTTGTTATTGTAGATGTTAGAAATCGCATATCATTATTGTTGCTTGTATAAATGTAAAATTATTCACTGAAAACAACAATATTTCACTCGAACACAAAATGCCAAGGAATAATTTTCTACAGGTTATGCTGAGAGGTTTGAAACCAACTGTACTTGCAGTACCGAACATGAAACGAGCTATCACATTCTGTAATGGGAATAAATAGGCAGAATAATTATTACTACACACCATTAAACATGAATGAGATCATCGCAGTCTGATATGCTGCCAATGTCAACTATTGAATACATTTTGCGAACTCATCTGTGGTAAGTACAGTGATCAAATAATATCATCTGTCCTGTGGCAAAATCAATAGAGTAGGAAAAAGATCGTTCTACAAATACATTAATCAACGAAACAAATTCATGTTGTGCAGAACCCCATTACATTTCTAAAGAATAACACGACTCAAATAGTCTCAACACCAACATAAGAGGAAGTAATGTGCCTGAATTTTTCTTAATGAGAAGCAGCGCACTCCACTCTGCAGGTCTCACACTTGGTGCTGCTGCTGCTGCTGCTGCATGTTTACAAATAAGCCACACATCTGATCGGTTGGCTTGCCTCTTGAGCCACTCTCTCTGCAAGATGGCCGATTCATTTCTGAGACGTGCGATGTGCCAGAAGACACGCGGTGGTGTCTGCCAGAGCCTCCCCGTGTGTTCTCGCACATAGAAAACACGCGTGTGTCTGAAAGAGTTGGTGGGGTTGCGAGCCATGCGAGTGGGCATTTGCACGCTGGGTCTGCGAATCATGTTGTTGTTGTTGTTTTTTTTCCCACCGACGTCCTTGTTGCAGGACAAGCAACTGTTCAATGGGCCATCCTCCTTTACATGTGTAACAATAAAGGCAAAACGAGCGGCCTGTGCAAGAGTACCATTCTCACACTTCCCACACAGTGACACAAAAAAAACACCAAGTGTTTGATTCTTTTTGGCATACGATTGCATTCTAAATATGCCAGTAAAACAAATCCAGAAACTCATTAAATATTGATTGAATGCTGACTCAAGTTCTTTTTTGCTCATAAGTAGCATAGATACAAGTGAGAATTAACTGCTAAGGAGAGGACAATCCAAAATGGATTTGATTACTTTGTTTTAATATAGTCGAAAAGAAAGCACATGAGATCATGCAAATTAAAAAAACACCTCACTTATAAAATAAATGTCAATATAGTTTCAATAAATCTGGGATATGGTGTGTGTGAGGTTTCATGAGGTAATGTAAGATCAAAACATTTTTATTTAACACTTTGAAGATATTTACTTAATCACTGGAGTCCCACCATTGAGAGGCCAGCCAACTCACCCGCAGCAACATGCCAGAGTGGTTAAAACGCCTTAGAAATGGCAAGCCTGCTCCTCTCTCTTCAAGAGTCAACGAAAAATTACAGATAGCTATAAAAAACAATTATTTGACAAAACTGTAATACGTTATCAATCAATAAGCATGTTACAATTATAACAATGTTTTGCAAAACACTTGTGTGAATGGAATTGGTCACAATCAGTCCAATGCAGGGCATGAAAATGAGCCTTGTGATTCAATGAGAATGTCTCGGGTAAGCAAAGGATATTACTGAACCGTATTATGTATATTCTTGGTTCTTTCGGTAAAGTCACGTAGAAGGGAAACAATAAAATAATAAAAACATAAAACAATAAAATTCTCACGACGTTTCGACTGCAGCACAAGCAATCATCATCAGAAAATTTTCTTGTTGTGGTTTTCACACCTGATGATGATTGCTTGTGCTGCAGTCGAAACGTCGTGAGAATTGTATTGTTTTATATTTTTATTATTTTATTGTTTCCCTTCTACGTGACTTTACCGAAAGAACCAAGAATATGTGAACAATCAATTAAGACCCGAAATGGTTTATCAAATCCTTCCAATGATTGCTAAGTCAGAATCCATCTTCTCGGTTGAAATTGTCTCTGTGTTTGTATATGTGGGAACGTATTATGTATGTTGAACTTCTTTCGCACCATATGTAGTCAACTGTGCTAATCGAAGGTGCGAAAACAGCATTACTAACATTAGTGTACTGTGGTATGCACAATTTGCAAATAAAAAAATGTTAAACACACTGAGGTAATATTGATATTTAGTTTTAAAAACATTGCTGTAAAATAAACACAACAATAGCGTAAAGTGATTACTTCTCAAGGACAGGAGCATCAATTATCACACGAATGAGGCTAGCAGTGCTGTTGTGATTGTGAAAGGTGCTACTGTAACGTGGAGATAATCTGTCAACACTTTTTTTGCTTTGCTGTTTCATGGGGTCTTTTTCTCTTTCTACCAGTAAAACAATACCATACTATCTGTTCATTGTAGGAACTCTACAAGGAGAGACATTTTTCACTGCGGTGCTTTGATAAAGAAAAGTTTGGTAATACAATACGATTCATGACCATCGCTCGAAAAAAATAGACTATCTTGGTCCTCTTGAAATCTCACATGGTTAAACAAAATAAACTTCAGACTCGAAATATTAATATAACTTTGTATTGATACAATTCATGTAACGTAAATCGTAGGTGTATGGTAAGTCGTAGGTGTGTGGTCCTGGCATACACAGAGCATTCTATGTTTTCGCAATAATATCAAGCACAATAATGTGAAGCACCATCAATGCATAACTACGTGAATGATTGCAACCTTTACTTATAGGGCCTGCATTTAGTAATTCTATCCCATGACTGATGCTTTTAAGCCTGCATTGTTTTTGCACTCACCCCATGCAAGCAAATTTATGGCCCAATAAATAATGTCAGAAGCATGCATCAACACACATCCACTGAGGTTTTATAGCGTGAATCATGGGGCACCCAATAGCCAATACGAGTGCTGATTAAAATTCTAAACCGGTCCTCTTATAAATGTGCATCAAAGTGGGATGGCATTATTCTCCATTCACATATACAAATCCCATGTTCTTCTGTTTTAAATACATTGTATTCGTACTTGTTTTAACGCATCACCAAGATTATATGCAAAAATGTCTAAACCAAGAAATTGGTTGAACAAATTGGAATAGAAGAATGGGCATTCCAGTGTGAAATGTGTTGCCAAGCCCAAGTGGTATTGTTCTCCCATGCATGGGGGGAGGCCATGGGTTCACGTCTGCCTCCTGCCGAGGAAGATTACAATATAAATTAAACAGTGTTGGGGGGGAGGGGATGTGTCCAACAGAGCATTTTCTGTGTGGCCATAAAAATCTAGATGGACAGGGCATGGTGGTCTTGGAGAATTTCCCTTTAATTAAAATTACAGAAGGTAACGACCTCGGTGTCTGTTAACGGTGCAGTGAGTATTTGACCTTAATTACTGGCACAAGTTAGAGCATATTGAGTATGTGTGGATAAAGATAGGTGGAAGACATTTGCCACAAGAAACTCAACTAGTGAGGACCATTCATTCCTCTATTTTAACAATGTTCATTTAAAGCTTGACAACCTACAATATTGTTTTTCTTGATATCGAATAACTGCAAAACACCAAATTACAGAACAGAATTTCCACATCAATGAAGATGCAAATCTGTACCTAAAAAAAAAATCACACGTAGCAGTGTGAAGCCACCTGTAAATGTTTATGAATAAGCAACATTACTTGCATTGAGTTGAATTTCTTAAATACAGTACAAAAAATAAAATTTGAAAACTATCACGCACTAGCTAACATCTGTCGGCACATTGACAAAGCAACAAAATTCATGATTATATAATAACCAGATAGAAAACAAGAATTCTACAGCAATTTAAATACACTATATTATGTTGACATAACATTCAAATTAATCCACTTTCCATTTTATTTCTAGAATTGTATCTCAGTCCACATTTCTTTTTCTTTTCATCCAAATAACCCCACTATATTTGCACTATGCTTACTTGAGTCTATGCAAAAGTCTCCAAATATATCTGGATGTCATTGTTGCAAGCTCCCTACCACAGTCCATCAGAGACACTGCCTTGATGTTGGCTTGACGTTTTTCAAAAGACGTTCACAGCACATAAGCATCTAGTCGCTGTAAGTGTGCTGGTTCTGCTCATTCAAATAACGCACTCTTGTAGCATAAAGTGAAGTCAGAAAAGCATGTGTCCAGCTGGGAATGTTTAACATGTTCTGTGCGTATCGTAAACACATAAGTATAATTATACCTTCAAGGGCCAAATAAATTAATTAATATCATACACTGTACATTCATGTCATTATTCTCAAGGTCTCTCTAATCAGATTGAAAATGTTTGGTCTGCAAATAAATGCTATTTTCCTGTTTTTTTTGTACAAACATTTTGACATGACATAAAAAATGACGATTGCACTGAACATACAACACCAAGCAAAGCAAAAATAAACATGTGCAATGTCCACAAATGCATTGTACTCTTCCCATAGCACACACGAGGCAAGCGGCAGCTATTAAAACACAGTACAGTATTATCAAATCATATTTATAAACTCGACGGTGAAATTAAAATAGATATCAAGATGTGCAACATATGTTACATATACAACCGCATTTTTTTCTGTTATCGTAATATGTGCTAGACTGTTCACGCGTTTCTCATAAATGCAAATGTGCAATTAGATAAGAAGCCAGGAAAGCAACCACTGATGTATTGGAAAACGACTGAATGATCCCCCCCACCATGCACAGCCAGACAAGGAGCTATATTAAAACCTCACCTCTTTCCTTTCCTCTCCACAGTCCTCTGTGACAACATTAGAATTTTGGCTGTCCTCTTCCTTTGCATTTTTAAAGACAGGAGTCATGAAACGAGATAATTTCTGACAGTTGAATATGAACGAGAGGTGCTCTGTGGTTAACAGCGTCGGGTAGATGAGCATTCCATGCACGAAAGGAGAGGTAAAGGAGAGGTTTGGGACCAACCGAGGGGTATTATCTCCGTACGGAATTCTCAGTGCCGATGCGGATGTGATGGCGCGTTGTGTGGGTGGTGTGCTGGTGTGGGTGTTTGCTTGCGTGCGAGCAGAAACTAATGAGACAGTGGCTCAGTCGATTTGCTGTGCGGGAGAGGGGGGGGTGAACGTGCAACCTCCACCGACCCAAATAAAAGCACATCGTCCATTTGCAAATTGTGGACGTATGTATTTTCAGGTGAGCTTGTAATGTGCAAGTTGAGCACTTTTGCACTCAAAGCACGTTGTGAATAAGGTAGTGGTTTTTTTTCTTTCCAAGTTAACAATGACAAAATTCACGCGGTGCATTTTCTTCTTCTGTGCAAATATGTTCATGAATTGTAACAGCGCTTCTTTGTTACTCTTTCCTTCACTAATGTCAAAAGAATTTGAAGACGGGTCACAACTTTCATTATCAACTGGATTACGTGTACTATTAAACCAGTAATGTTTGTATTTAAGAATGCTTAACACAGCTATGAATTGCGACTGCGTAGATTTACCACTGCCAAACATTGGAAAAGATGCTGAACAACACAATGGTATAACCTGAAGATGCATCACAGAGCTATACCAGCTATGGATTACTCGCCAAGGCAAAAAAATAAAAAGGGAGCATCTGCATGTAGAGATGAATTGTAATATGGATCAGTAATAATACAACCGTGACCGACATTGCACTCGCACGTGAGTCAGTGGCTCATTAAAATATGCCTGTCATTCAGCTTCCAACATTCAATGTTGATAGCCAATATTGTGTTAATGAATTTGTATACCGGTGTAAATATACATATTTAGACATGATATGCACGTTAATGTATCTGTAGTTCACATGAAATTTAAATATCACTAAGATTCGAGGTTTTTTTACAATGTAAAATCCCGTATATATATAATTTGGCATATAAAAAAACAATACTGCTTTTAAATAACCAGAACCATATACGCAAAATGCAAATCATCTGAAACCATGTCCAAAATTGTTGTTTTCCTGTTTAAAAGCATCTATTAAATCACAGCTCCATTTAAATATTCCGAAGATAAATGTTTTAGTTATGCATTTTTACAATATTGCACATGGTATATATAATTTATTAGAATAACATATAAATACAGTTATATAGCTTTTACAAAAGGACTACAGTATATGTAAAATGCAAATTATCCAAAACCATTTGCAAAAATGTTGTTTAGGGTGTTTAAAGACATGCATGGAATGACAGCTGCATCATAAAAATGTCAATTGACATAAAATTCCCTGGAGTCCATAACCCTTAGCAGCTGACCCTTTGGGGGCCTTGCTTAGGTATGCCTCTCACTCAACCAATTTCCAAAGAGCATTCATCCTGCCTGTGCCAATCTCCGAATGTTGTAAAAGCCCACACTTTAATAATGTACAATCATTAACGGTTCCTTTAAAAATGAATTTCTCATTGGGCAATTTGCCAACCCGGTTGCGATGCAAAATAATTATTGCCTGGAAAATATACATGCCTGTGTGATGCTTATGTGCCACAATGTGACTGTTTTTATACCAGATTAGCAAAAGATTGGAGGCAAAATAGTTGTACGTTAAAATGTTTACAGTTTTATCTGCACTGTGGTAGCCTACGTGTTAAATAATGCGCAATCAACTTTATGCGTTTAATATTAGGGCGCTGCTTAAATGTTTTTGTTACTTTTCTTTGCGTTTTAAAAACAATTATTTGAAATTAATGATCGTGCTCCACCCATTAGCCGTGCAGTGTCTCAAACTACACCACCCAGACATCTCGCTTATCACGGGTCCTATAAACTTATACAAACTTTTCTTGAACTGCTGATGAAATTACAACAATACATTATGTAACTAAATGCTTGAAAATGTCAAAATTTTCCAACAAACTGGGCTAATGTTCCAACAACACAGCTGGAAACAGTAAAGGTTAGCTGGGCAACAAATATATTATCAGCCATGGTCAATCCACTGCTGGATGAATTCCTTCTTCACATCACACCGTCACCATCCCACAATGTCCTGAGATGCCACAATTCATCTACACATTAACATTCTGTTTTCCAAAAGCACTCCACTCCATCCTGTTCATATTCGCATCTTTAGTTTTATAATTTTGATCCCAATCCACCTTCAATAACTGCCATAGATACAAATATTCTGTTTCTAGTTGCTGCAAAAAATATCTTCTGTAAAGAAGGAAGTTTAGAGACTTACCCAATATGTTTAGCTGAAGCAAGAAAGAAACACATGTTCCTGTGGGTTTTACGCAAGGCTAGAGAACAGGGAAGCTCTAGCATATTGTCACTGCGAGTCAATTCGGTTGCCACAGTATGCCGAGATCTGTTATTTTTATTACATTACAACAACCAGCAGTGACCAGTGTATTGAAGTATGGTCTAGCAACCCTCATGACCGATACAGAATTTATAATCAGAATGTTTATTTATAGTTACAACATTAATACAAAAACGATGTGAGTGCAAAGCATTAAAAGGTAAGCAGGAACTAAAGTTGCATTAAAAAAAAAGAAAGTACAAATTACATAAGTACATACATTTCTGCCGATGTTTTTTTTACACCAAATACAAGCTTAGGCAAGACAACAAAACAACAAGGCCACACCAGCAGTGGATTGACAAAGGGCTGATAATTATTACTATAATTACTAGTCTCACTACATCTGTGATTGTCCAATCTCACCAAGCCTTTGTTTAATGTGGTTTACACATAATGTAAAGCAATTAAAATGAGAAGCATGTATTAAACACGATCGCCAAACAAGGCATATACTTACCATCTCTAAGTATTTCATAATGGCCAGGAAAGCAGCTAGACCAACAATACCACGTGGTTATAATTGTAAGCTAGTAAACAATTAAACACTGCTTGTCGTTGTAGGGTTTAACAAAAGAAAACATCCAATTATCCTGCATGAGCAAAAAAGACGGCACCTATCCTAAACTCAAAAGACAGGTCACGTTGGATGCTTGAGTGACTGCTCACGGCATGCATGTGGGGCAGCCAACTGCAAGCCTTCACTTTGGGTGGCCAATGGCTACATGGGGAGTGGCTTCACACAGGAACGAACAGAGGCAGCTGTACAGCGGAGATTGTGCACAGTTAAACGGGTATTTCTTTTGTGACAAAGTAAGCCAGTCTTTCCTTCAAGTGTAAACCAAATAATCTATAACGTGCAGATTGCTGAAACATTGGGATGTGTGACCTGTATTGCTTGTTTAGACATTCCACGCGATCTTCGTTTCCCTCGATAAGAGGCTTTTCTCGCAACATTTTACTTTTCACCGATAGAGCACAACCATGCCCTGTCCCTATGGCTAGCATTCCTCTTCTGCAGTAATTATCACCGGCTCCACAGATAATTAACTCTGCAATGGTAAATGGTCACCAGATGTTACAAATGGTGCCCAAGAGTTTCTTAAATTGACAAAGGTCACCGGTACAGTAGTGACGATTTTGCAGACTACTCATGTTAATGTAAAGTCAGTTGATTTGTTGCTTTTATTTTTGTAAAAACCCAGTTTCTTAATTTGTTTCGTAAACCTCACAAATGAGGAAGTGATCATGCCTGCCCTCTGGATACATACATACCATTGTCTATTTGCCCATTCATGAAATGCTTTACCCACTTTGAAAAACTGGTCTGGGGACTACAGAGACTAATCTACTAGCAATCTGTGAATATAGCGGTGGGAAACCAACATTTTTATTTGAACAAAACCCCTACTTATGTGGAACAGTGTAGACCAGACTCCAGTTCGGCACTTACCTCGAGCACTTTCCCAGTGATGAACTTCCCGCACTCCTCGCACTTAATCCCAAACTGGCTCTGGTAGTCCTGCTCACAATATGGCACGCCATCCCTGCCCAGACATCACATAAAAACCAAGTTGGAAAGAAATCATACAACTGCAAAGATGAGTAAATACTGTCCAACATGTGTTTGTCTTCAGATGTCTCTAATTAGCAGTAAGTGCTTTTTTTCTCTGGTTCGTCTAAGTTTTGGGAACCACGCTCTTTGGTTCTTTCGGGAACCACTTTGATCAATAGGTTAAGTGCAAAATTACAAAAAAAACTACAAGTTGGTTCATATTGGATCATCTTTGGAAAAGTTATAGTGCCTCCCCCCCCCAATTATAGAAGGGTAGAGCTGAAAAGCATAAACACTTTCAACCTAGGTTAGAAAGTGTTAAAAACGATGAAAACAAATACATCCTTACAATTCAGAAAGTACAGGAATAGCATGTGAAGAAGACAGGTTAAACAACTGTACTCTGCATTCAAGGATTACATATTTCATCAGCTGGTTTATCATCCAAAATTAACACCATAGAGCACCCACAGCTGAAGGAGATTCAGGGCTCAGCGGCACTCACTTGCTGATGTACTCGCCCGTGAGCACCTTGCCGCAGGTCTTGCATTTGAAGCAGCCAAGATGCCACTGTTTATCAAGTGCCAGCAGGGCTTGCCCGTTCATGATGTCACTGCCACAGCCAGTGCAGTCTGCAACACGCCAAGAAATGGATGAACAATGAACAATGTCATTGATACTCCCCTGAATTTCCTATCTCATTTACAGCCAGCGTAGGCCAATGCTTTATTCATGTTTTAAATGAATGCAGCATACACATTCACAGTCATATACATTCGAAGCAATTTGTCAATCCACCGCTGAATGAAGACATGAAGGGGGTGGGGAGGGTAAAAGGTTTGTTACATGAGGACTGAGGAATCGGGTCATCGGTTTCATTGCACAGAGTGAGAACCACTGCGCCACTCAATGGCCACACATCATACACAATGTGGAATAATCAACAGGTTAATCTGAAAAGTACATCGAGATACATGGACAGATGCATGCTTCGTATAACATTGAGAAACAGAAATAACAACACGCGGATCTGAGAACAAATGTTGACTTAATAAAAGTAACTGTGTGAATAGGACACATTGCAAGAACAAACAGTAGCCAAACGACAAGGCTGATGATGAAATTACAGCCAAGGGATAACCTCCCCCCCCCCCCATTAGGATGGACCATCATGCACAGGAACGAGATGGATTGTGGCTGCACAGGACCATAAATGATTGCCGCAATGCAATCATTATTGGAATTTACTGATTTAACCAGGAGAGCCACGCGGAATCGGAGAACTCTTTTTCAGGAGGGTCCTGGGCACTGGATTTTTTTGCATTCAAACATGTTTTAATCCAATTAATCCATGTTTATACACATGGGAGGTAACCGGAGCACCCGGAGAAAACCCACACTTGCAAGGTGGCAAAAATCTTATCCCCGTACAGATGGAAACTGTTGGCAACTAATCCATTGCTGTACTGCCTTCTGGGAACACAGGGTAATAATGGACACCTCGATAACCATGGGAAGGGGTTTTCACAACATATGCGTGAGATCCACCAAACCTTGCCTCGACAGTTCTGGATTTACAGGCATGCGCCTCCACTGTGGGGAAACCTTCATCCAGCAGTGGACAGATTATGGCTCATGATGATAAAACTACCTTCATCCAGCAGCGGACAGATTATGGCTCATGATAAAACTACCAAGAACAGACTATTAAATTAAATGTATTTCTTCTTGTCCAATTGTGAAAACTGCCTTAAATATTAATTTCACGTAATAGTGTACGTTGTAAAGTACGTTGTTAAAAAGGTACCCTAAAGCATACATGATGCAACTCACAGTGACACTGGATAACAGTTCACAGTTTAATACAAATTTTACACCAACGATAGGGTCATCTTAACACATTACATAAGTGTCTTTTTACAAGACTTAAGATTTTCAGATGAATTTGGCCCAACTACATTTCACAAAATACAACAATTATGCGGTCAATGTTAATACGGCTGAAGTTAACTAATCTGGATGTTCTTACACTAAAAAATCCGACAAAAAGATGGTAATCTTAGCAGGCGCCACGCAACAGCACGTATGGTAAAAATATAAATTAAGCAGGTAGGGTAAAAGATTTATTACATGAGAAAGTGTCAACGATTCATACTTACTGAACATGTTAACGATTGTTGTGCTTCCACGCTACAAAAATCCAGCTATTGTACAAAGCTTATGCGCTCGGAAACAATGACTTCAGAGTTTCCACCAACACACACACTAGGTCTGTGCTTCATATACTCACACGCTTGTTTATCACGAGCTTGCCCCTGAACACCAAGATAACCCCTTTCCATCCATATTATCCCGAGAGGGGATTTACTTGATGAAGCCACACACACACATCCTGAACATGCACTTCCTGCACATTCCCAAACTGAATATGAAGGCATGGGAAGTTATTCACGCAATGGCTACTGCCGCTGCATTGCACCGTCGTTATTCTAATGAAGCAAATTCCAATAATTTTCTTGTGGCTTTGATTTGCGTTTTAAAGAATGCTTGTTTGATGAAAATGTGGTTGCAGTTCTACTCTGCAGTATGGCTGGCGGCATGCTAGGTGGCAATGGTAAAGCGATTGTTTTAGTCAAGCTAATGCACTATAATGATGTCAGGATGCAATAATGCAGTTATCCTCCAACATGAGGAGAACATTCATGGAACAGTCAAATTACGGAAGTATGGGCATGCTCATAGACATACCGTCGTTACTTACTCGGTATGTTTTGAATTTTACCTGGAAAAAACACACAGCATTTACAAAAGTGTATTTCCCATGTTCCACTGACGGGAAGCTGCTGTATTATATACATGTTTAAAGGTAAAATAGTAATGGTGCATCCTGGCAATTACTTACAGATGCAACCTGGCAATTAACTAACTATCGTCTACCCATTTATATTTCGGGACGGACAGAGGTGGGGGCATTTTAGGAATCTTCCCATTGTTTCAACTCCCCGTGTCGGGAGATAGACCAAACGACGAACTATAGATTGCCACGACAGCATCCCTTATATATTTTCAGTAATAATAATAATAAAAAAAGGCAAAACCAATTAAGAAAGATTTACATGTGCACATATTGTCAAAAACAGTGCAGATCTATCACAGGCAGGATGTTAGCATCTGTAATAAAAACATGGCTTTGGCTTTCGCATGATGGCAGGTGCATTGATTGATGGCCTAGGCAGCTGAGCAGCTGAGCAGCTGTGCAGTGCGGGTCAAGCGCTTACTGGTGGAAGCGCCGATGTCTTTGGCATTGGTTGCGACAGGCTGGATGCAGCGCTGGCAGAGGCAGTCCTTCCCGTTGAAGGTCACGCGATCCCCGGCTGGGAAAGGGCACCTGAAAAACACAGCACCGAGTATGGGCGATGTTCGACTCATTAGTGGATTGAGTAGATGTAATCGCATAAGACGGCCAATCTAATTACACACCACCATGGTTAAAAAAAAAACGATTAAAGGTTACAAGCCGAGTGGGTTATAATGCATCTAATTTTTATTCCACTTATCTTTTTATACATATAAAAAATTCATTTCTATTTAGTTTTCCTTAAGGAAAAACTAACACCAATTTTTAATTGGCTGTTACAATATAGGTGTACATATAGATCCAAACGTATTTTTTTGTTATATTAGGTGAAAATGAGAAATGGTAATTTAAATCATAGTCCATGATTTGTACAACAGCTTCAACAATATCATCTGCAATAATAACACGAACCAGATGGTGGCAGACGAGCAGTGGTGAAAACCAAACTGTCATAGTATACAATTAATATTGTTAAAATGCACTTGAGAAAATTATGTGAACTAATTGTTATCAATATTTTCAGTTTCGTTGATGATGGTGTTTTTATTATTATTTATATAATACCGAATAGAACCAAAGAGTATGGATCCTTGCAGTCACGAAAGCTTCAAATCTAGACTGTATATTTAACCCACACGCAAGGCCCTGCAAGTTGTTCATGTAAATGGCTTCTATTACACACAAAGTGCTTGCCACAAAAGAACCACAATGCATTGCTAATTTCGTTAAGGAGCATAAACCATTACACGGACTCCAGTCATCCTCACAGCGGCTTTTGGCTAACCATCAAACAAAAGATGGTCACTGCATCGCACACTTTTAGACGCGCTTCTGCGGCCATCTGGAATGTTATTCCTTCTGATATGAGGAAGCCACTGGAGCTATGCACTTTTAAATCAAGATTACAAACTCATTTCTTTAGAACTGCTTTTTTTGTTTAGTTTGTTGTCCTTCCTCCGCACCTCCAATTAGCACGGTTGGCTACGTATGTGTGAAATAAGTTCAAGATAAATACGATCCACAAGCATGCACTTTCATGAATACAATATATGAAGCAAGTCTCATGAGTAACATTATACTCATGAAAATGCAATGTAAGAGGTCACCTGCCAATATTTTATTTACAGAGATATTTTGAATAGAACAGGATTTAAATTGTCTGTCTAAATAAAATATAGGCCGGGATTCCCGGTTATATTAACAACCGTACATATCAATCTTGATTTGAAGCTTTCGTGACTGCAGGAATCCATACTCTTTGGTTCTTTTGGTAAAGTCACGTAGGTAGAAATAAAATAAAACAAATCACGACGTTTCGATTGCAACTCAAGCACTGCTCATCAAGTGAGACAATCACAGCAAGAAAACTGCTGAAGTGGGCGAGAGAGCTGCCGTGGCAAGAGGTTATATAGGCAAGAAAGGGGGAGGAGCAAGGGGGGAGCAGGGGCAGAGATAGGGAGGGGGGGGGGCTGCGCGAGCGCTAGGGGGAGAAGAAGTGCGGCACGGGGGGGGGGGGAGTGGGCGGGGCTAGAAGTGGGAAGCTGCGTATGGGACACACATCACTTTCACATGTTTGCTGTATCCGTTCAACAAATTATTATGAGAAAGAAAATCTGTCTAAAGTAAAATATAAATCCATAATACATATTTTATTAATATTATTAATAATAAAGCCAGACTGCAAAACGACATACACAGTGCTGCATAAATAACTTTATGCCGCTTTTTTTTCATGCTGGACTGTTAGATGAGTTATCTTTTTTTACAAAATGGTACAAAAATACTACTGAACATTTGCTTCTTTAAAAGATATCTATCTTCAGATAACAAATTACAGCATTATAACCTACGGAATGAGTGATAGTGCCGTGGTTAGCATGCTGCACTATGAACCCAGTGACTTGAGTTTTGATTCCTGGCCACAGAAAACATCAATTGCAAGTGACATCCCAACCGGTCCTGGTTGACACCCTTCACAAAGCCACACAGACCAGCGTGTGGTGAAGCATGGGCAAGCAAACCCCCATGACCGACATGGCACAGGGAGGCGTTCATCCAGCAGTGGATTGACAAAGTGCTGTAAAATAATATTATCATCCTATGGAAGTAAAAATAACAAGTTATTTTTTAAACCTACATCTTAAAATGTGTGCAACCAATAAAGAAAAAAAACTCGCGAGCATGAAAAGAGTTTCCAAAAAGTTGTTATGATCGTCTGCAAAAAAGTTTGCGTCTTGAAATGTTTCATTTTCTTTCCAGAAAAAACACAATTCTACGTGAAAAGTACAAACTGAAAATCAAAACAAAGAGCAAGAATAAATAAAGGGTGGGCCTTCAAAATAGGGCAGTGTAATGTTATCACTAGGAAGTGAGATCGTTGATCATAGCAGCCTGCTCCATTGTTAAGGAAATGCAATGGGGCCCATACATTAGCTTTCTGAGTGGTAATACTAAAGCTAACTATAAATAATGTATTACGATAACACGACATGTTGACAGTTCTGTTGTTCTCTTCCTGAAGTGTGGTTTTATTTTTCCCATTAGAAGTGGAAAGAATGTAAAGCTACATCATTTATGGAGAACTTATCAGTCTATATTAAAGGTATTAGTTATGCCAATTCAAAAAGCACAGGCTATTCCATCATCTCGTGTACAGCTTTTCCCCTTCAGGAGCATTAAAGCTCTTGTACCATTGGGCCAAAAATGGCTTATTGGTACCCTTCACGGTGGCATATGCTAGCAATTATTAATTTGGAGAATGTTATCTCTAGATCACAAATATGTATGATAGCAAGGTCACCATGGTGTTTCTATGGAAAATGTTTATTTAAGTAGGGCGCCAGTATGTTTGACAGAGAATATAATTTTAGGACAAAAAAACCCATCATATTAAACATCTACGAAGTATAAAAATAAATAGAAAACGTGTTTATAAAACAGATGGTGTGCTTACGAAGCTTTTTGCCCATGGTGAACACTCGTAGCATTCGCCACCCCAGGTGGTACCGACCAACCCACTAAGCTCATGGGCTAATGCGAGGCACGAGACTATGCAGTCAGGCCACCGAGCTGAAAGTCCACTCAAGCTCGAGGAGACTGTAAATATCTGATAACAAGGAGAGCGCACTGATGTGTATGGTGTGTCATGTCTAAATACATCTCTCACAAGAAGACAACATATTCACAAGAAAAACAAAGCAAACATTGTTTGCCCTTGCACTACCGAATTGAAATTCACCAAATAAATAAAAAAATGTACAGTGATTAATAGCAGTCAAATAAAATATTACAGCATGACACGAAATGACATCACCATACAAGTTGTAAGGAAGTTAAACAACTGTTGTTGCAAAATGATAGTGGAACATAAAAACCATTGTTTACAATGCGGTCATAAGGTGAAACCAACATGAGTTCAAAAGTGAGGTTGTAGTGTCTGTGTAATCAGCAATTTATTGTAGCCTAGGTGGACATGCATTACTGCGTGGGAATTAAAAAAAAATGGATGTCTTATTAGTCAAACACTTCCTTTGGTTATGGGAGGGGACCCAGAAAGGAAGAGGAAGGGAGTGTGGCGTTTACAATAAATATACTTACGAGACAGTAAAAAAAAGTCACTGCTGTTTAAAAGCATTGCTGGCTGGACATTCTTGCATTATTTATCTAAATATACCTACATCTCTCACACGCTCTACTGCCGCCTTGTTTTCAGCCACCCACTGCAAGAGTTTCTCAAGCTCCAATCTTTTCAACTCCCCATGGTGCAGCTGCAGTTTTCCTAATTATCTATCTTTTTCCAATGAAGTTTAAAATAAGCCAAGAGTTTGCCAGGTGGCTCAGGAGTCAGAACTGAGCTGGCACCGTTGAGATCCTGGGATCGAATCGAGAGCAGAGAGTTTGCCAGGTGGCTCAGGAGTCAGAACTGAGCTGGCACCGTTGAGATCCTGGGATCGAATCGAGAGCAGATGCTGATTAATAAGATGAGTTGATGGTCTCAGCTTGGTCACATGTGAGGGTACAAAAAAACCATCGATAAAATGTGTTGTTACACTTAATTGTTTAAATTCCAACAGAGCTTTTAACATTTTGCTTTGATTGACATGGGAATATTGAAGTCATGACCCAATTGTGGGCATTTTAAGTGACCTCGGTAATCTTCTTTGGTTCTTTCGGTAAAGTCACGTAGAATGAGAATAAAATAATACATTGATAAAATAAAATAACACAATAATATTCTCACGACGTTTCAGCCACAACACAAGCGGCCTTCATCAGGTGAAGGGACAAGACTGTCTGGAGGACAGCGCTGGAGTGAAAAAGCCACGCTTGGCTTCACCTGATGAAGGCCGCTTGTGTTGTGGCCGAAACGTCGTGAGAATATTATTGTGTTATTTTATTTTATAAATTTATTATTTTATTCTCATTCTACGTGACTTTACCGAAAGAACCAAAGAAGATGAATCCTTGCAGTCACGAAAGCTTTAAATCGAAACGAGACCTCGGTAATAGTTATGTTGACGCCATCTCCTAAGGGGCATTCTGATGCAGTGGTGCACTGCAAGCTGTAGAGTTCCAAGTAAAAAAAGACTGTCTCATGACATAACACCATTACCAACATTGGAAGAAAATAGGAGAAAGTATTAACAAACTGGAACAAAACAGGCTGCAATCACAGCGAGCTGCACCACGGATTATGAAAACTAAAGATTGAGAAACACGGCAAAGTAGGATAAAGCTTGCCATACCATAGCACCCTACTACACACTTCTCCTGAGCCAACTTCTAGAAGTCAATGGAACATGCCGGGTATCTTACCTGCACACAGCGCACACGAAGCACTGCGGGTGGTAGGTCTTGCCGAGGGCCGTCACCACCTCCCCCTCCACAAAGTCCCCGCAGCCTGTGCAGCGGGTACCGTGCTGCTGCTGGTAGTCATGTGTGCAGAGGTACTCGCCGCTCTTCATGAAGAAGCCATTCTGAGCCAAGTCGCACCCGCACACTGAAGTAACAAAGACAAAGATCCCCTCGATGTATGCATGTTGAACTTCTTTCGCACCATACGTAGCCAACCATGCTGATCGAAGGTGGAGGGGGGGCAAACTAAACACAAAAAGCAGTTCCAAAGAAATTCGTTTTCAATTTAGATTTAAAACCTAAGACTAAATCTTGACTTAAAGCTTTCGTGACTGCAGGAATTCATATTCTTTGGGTCTTTCGGTCAAGTCACGTAGATAGGTTCAAATAAAATAACAAAAAACTACGACGTTTCGATCGCAACACAAGCGTTCGTCATCCTGATGACGAACTGATGGACCAAGTGCTGTTAGCGAGCACCTATGAAGGCTGGCCACTGTGGCCGACAAGGGGGTGGGTGGCCAGCATCACGCCTGGCTGCCTTTGTCTCCTCAGTGGCGAGGTTAGCTACTCATTTAATGCCGAGTCGACCTAGGGGAGGTCCAGGGCCGGTTCAGATAATCGTCAACAATGTTTTCCGTGAGCGGGAATCAAACTCAGGTCGCCGGGCACATATCACAGCGCTCCAAGCGCTATACTACCGCTCCCCATACACTGAAGTAACACATACACTCATGGCGGCAGCAATGAGAAAACACGAATCATAAATTTACATCTTTGCAATTAATTACTGGATACTTACAATTCGAGTGAGTCTACAGCCAAGTCGAACACACAGGTTATACACTGTTATTGCTTGTAGGTTTTTTTTTTCTTTCTTGGATAGGGCAATGGCTCAAAAATGTGAAATATTGTTTGTCAATTGAAACACATTCCTGCGGAGGGAGCTGGTAGGAACGTTGGGTTGCTCGGTCAATGGCCTGGGTCAACGGCGGCGTGGTGTATTCCGCAAATATGCCCGACTGTGAGGGCGGGCACAAGCCAGCGTGAGTAGGTTAAACGTTGAGTTTTATAAGAGCACCACGGGGTGACCAGCCCCTCCACACCCAGCCCCACCCCTCCCACCCCCACCCCTCCCACCCCCCACCCAGCTCCTCCCCACCCTCCCCAGCCCCTCCCCTCTCCACCCAACCCCACCCCTCCCATTTTATCCGGGTGTCCGGATACACGTGGACAGACATCCACAGACATACACATTTCATCCCCTGCCTCCTGTGATAATCCCAGTTGGGCTTCCAGTCCACTACGTTTCCTTCCAGTAATGCCCACTAGGAGCGCATTTGTTATATATCCGGGTGTCCGGATACACGTGGACAGACATCCATAGACACACAATTAATCCCCTGCCTCCTGTGAATTAATCCCGGTTGGGCTTCCAGTCCACTACGTTTCCTACCAGTATAATAATTGGTCAATATATTTAATTACACACTCGCAAGTATGTGAATAGAAATACGCTAGTCTTATGAAATTAGATCAACATTCTTCCCACTGGATTTATATCACGAAAAAAATGCATCAGTAATGTTCCTCGGAACTGCTTGGAAAGTCAAAAAGATTAGCAAGAGCATCTGGATAGATGATAGCCAGGATTCAAGAGTACAATACCTGATGTATGTTGACCACTGACAAGTATTAAGAGAAGCCTCAATAAACCAGACTGCTCATGCAAAGCAAAGAGTCTAGCTGATTTAATAACATCTGTTTCTTCAGACTGAAGCAACATGATCACCGCCATGCAGTGGAGCTCTGTTACAAGTGGCGGTGCAGGAAGTCAGCAACTTAGCTTCGATTTCCCTAAATGCCATCACAAGTTATCAGAACTCTATCTGAGAATGTATTCTAACACATTCTCAGGTAGAAAAACACATGGTAGGGATTCAACACAAGACCTATTATAACTTTGAAAATAATAAAGAATGCTGGGTCTCTTTGCCAATGTGAATACTTAGCACAAATTACTTTCACTCCCATATGGGTGGTTGGTTAGTTTAAAAGTCAGAGCACCGAGCCAGCACAGCTTAAATCCTGGGCTTAAATTCAGGCAACATCCGTTGATTAAACGACATTTCAAGGGAAGCGAGTTGATTGTCTCAGCCAAGTCACCAATGACCAACAAAAAGTATCATTAATATCAGATTTTTCATACTAAATTTGGGTACATTACAGATCTCATTGTGAAAAGAGTGGTTTCACGATCATGAGACAAACACACATCTCATAGCAGTCTGTGTGGGGAAATACACCCTCTGTAGTGTAAAGCTTAAAAGGCCACTGAAAGGATTTTCAAAAAAGGTTACGTGAACATATCTTACGATAATGTACTGCCAGCAACATTGGGAAAAAGACCAAAACATATTTGAGACTCTTTTTATTTGAAATCATGAAATAAATTAATTTTGAGCTGCATTTTTCCACTTGTTATTTCAAAAAGACAGTAACAAGGGATGCCTCACAGTTAACACCACACCTTGCATAAATTGCAATTAATGTTCTTGTTATTGCTAAAGGAAGCTACCACACACGAAAATTATATTCACCCATCCAACATGCAGCACATCTGATTTCCATTCCACTCACACTTTAGCTATTTCCATGATGCTGTCATGTCTGTTTCTGCCAAAAAAAATAATCTCACACGTGTACACGCTTTCTTGACCACCACAAACGAGGAGGAACAATCGGCACAAAGGCCGAACGTGCTATAACAGAGCAGTCTATTGTTCTGGCCAAGGCCAAGACTGGAGAGACAGGAAAGAGAGGACTTCCTGGCAACCACCGGTTCCAGAACAAATAGATGCAAACAAGCCAAACGATGGATATGCATACAATTCGGGGTTAAGGCTCTCTCTCATCTTCACAATGTGCCGCTCGATGTTTTTTTCCTGTAATATCGCTGAGAGTGCCATACATCTGACTGACTTACACTATTGAGTGTACGGAATGTCAGTGATGTCTGGTTGATGTCATTCAACTTTCACCTTACATTTGGAGCTTTTATGCGTGACATAATCCGAGACCTTTAAGATCACTTAAGGCCTTTGTATTCACCTTCAATGGGCTTTAAGTATGGCTTTCCATGATGTAGAACTTGATTTTAGTAGTACATTTCTCTGCGTAATGTTCTTATTGCTCACTGTTTGCAAGGAAAAGGCCACATATTTAAACCATGCAACAGGCAGTTTTGCCACTGCAGACTAAAGGTTAGGACACACCACGATGCTACAATTCACACTTTCTTTAAAAATTCCAAGTAGAAAATTTTTCTTTCTGTCAACACAAATGTGGTTTCAACAACACTGTTTTTGTCTTTAGAAGTTTTCCATACTGAACTTCTGGAATGTCATAAAATAAATCGACCTTAGTTCCTTATTGCCATATGCAACCCTCAACAGGACAAGCAGATTGAGAAGCAAACAAACAAACAATATATTATTTGTTGGTATATCAGACAATTGGCCTTCCATATTTACATCAACCAGCATCATGTTTAAGCAAGCTACCTCTAAACTGGGGATGACAGGGGTCTCATCAAAAGCAATGCCAGACCTACCAAACAAATGCCCCTGGTTTACCAGATGTTATTGCTTCTAGCGCTTCCTCTAAATGACAGGGAATTGTCAACACAAAAACAGTGCCCAAAACTCATTATGCATTGTTGTGCAACATTCTGGCCAATAACATAAACTAATCAAACTCCATTCTTACTACTGGATGAGAGGATTACACTAACAGTTACTTGTCAAGATATGATTAGACTAGCCATTACACAAACACCATTTAGGGTTGGATTTGTTGACATCAAGTGCCACTGGCAGTAGATCATTGGACAACGATGTCCTAAAATAGTTATCCACCACTCAGCTTATAGTTTTGGCCTCAGTTTTGATTAGGCAATTAAAGGGTATGTGATGTTGAGTTTTTAAAAGATAATTAACTGGAGTATTATTTGCATGCCCACATGTGTAAAATGACATTACAAATGTTTCATATACAGAGATTTTGGAATGCACAGGCATTCATTTAGTAAATTAAACATGAATCGTGGTATACAATAAAACAAGACATGTTTACTGAAAAAAGTTAAATAAACAGTAATTTATAAACCAGTAAACAAACACACTTTTGGCCGATGTGATTTTCCATTTGTGCTGCGGACAGCTCCAATCAAAGTGAAAGAGGCCAACATTGCCAATCCTACAAATAGACAGAGCTCCGGCTTGGAACACACCGACTCGAGCGAAAATACTTCCTGTCGCGCTGTCCTCTTGCCATCGTACATTTCACTTCACCGGCTATACGTGTCGTCCAAATGCACTGGTGGCATCTGCATTAGCAACACAGGGAATGTGTTGGTAGCCGGCAATGAAAAACGTTCCCGATTGGGCGTTGCCGAGGGCGAGTTGCCCCCGGAGCGGCCGTGTGGCCGCTTGCCATACCGCGGCGAACAGATGAGTGCCGGCGATCTCTCAAGTTACCACCTCTCCGCACATTGCTGGAGCTTTTTTTTTAATTTTATTTCCAACAACACCTGCCCACATCAACCACAGCCTCACTTTCAGCCTTCTTGGCTTTGACATATGGCCACGTCACTATGCCTGTCTGTGCCATTGTTGCCTGTTCTTCTGTACGGATCACGTTGATGTTCTTGTTCTGTGTTGATGCACCATAAATCTCCCTTGTAAACTAGCTGGGTAACTGGCTAAATGGAAGAAACCATTCAGTATGCCAACTGATCACGTGAACGTCCCATTGATGTAACGATAGCAAGGACCGATTTGTATTGACTGTCTAAATGTCAGTATAACTTTTTTTCAAAGTTTATTCCAATTGTGCTCGAAAAACAATCTATTCAAGAATCTCACAGAGCAGCACATGCTGTGTGTGAGGGAATGTTGCTTTATTCTTCACATGATAGGGTGCACACTTTGTCATTATGCTCTGCAATTATATTGCATGACAGTCAAACTAATATTGTTAATTATTAGAGCTGGAATTCAGCGAAATCGAAGGCCAATCTAATTAAACGATGTTTTATTTTTGTGCAGCCAATGGTGACCAGGTGGAGACTATTAACTTGTTTAT